ATTTCTACATCAAGGAGCTAAAGGAACATGAAGGGTGGAGCCACATACTGTACTTACACTGCTTGCACGCTCGTTTCGATTGACAGTGTCTACTTGTTGATGCCATGATTAAAACTGAACAAACTATCGATCCAGCAGAGCTCAAGTCACGTGTTACCGTTTTTAATACTAGATGGCAGCTTTTTGTCAATAAAAAAATATTCTGCTAGCAAATGCTCGTTTGTAAATCACATTTGAAATTTTGTACACAAATGTTATCACAAGGACCGACCAGGATATACTATAAGATAATCGTAAGTATAAGCTCTGGCCTGGCATATGCTCTACATAACTCATACTGTCATATGAATTCCAAATAACAGAGAAATATTGATGCATATGTGATGATATGCAATTATTGAGCCTTTCCTGTTTATAAGAATAGAAAGCAATGCAATAGTTCAAACAAAACAAGATATGTATCTCCAAGGGTGTAATATAAAAAGTAATAATGACCATTTAAGATTGTCATCTACCCTGTAGGTTTAAAGAAGACAGAATCTGATTTCTGGCATTTGGAGTTTTCAAACCTTCAATGATAACCTCAACCTTAAGATCATAGCAGAAGGATCACAGTTGAAGTAATCATATTTCACAAGCTAGAGAGAGAATATAAAAAGTATATTCCTATACTTTACTTCTATACAGTATAAATCACACAGCATATCAGATGCAGTAACTTGAAAATTAGATCGCATTGAGATGGGTATACTATTGTTATGAAAAATCATATAATATATAATAGTGATACGGGTAAACTGAAGTTTTGATACGCTGTATACATATAAGTGTACGAACTGGATATACTTGTGTAATGTAGCTATAACCATATTATTAACTTACTCATGCTTTCTGTGGTGGTATAACTGGTATTAATGTCTGTTAACATTTCTTAAATGCATATGCACTAAACTGTGACTTCAAATACAGTAAAATTAAGCAAACAATTCATCTGACTCACCAAGATATACTGAAAAATTCTTGCGACTTCTGTACGCTTTACTTTTGTTTACGGTTGGCTGTGACGTCGAGTTATTCCCCGTTTAGATAATGGTTAGGTCAAGAGAGGGGGGTGAGGTAAGAGGGGATCCACGGAAATCCCCCTTTCCAGCAATGCAACAGGACACGCAGGCGCTAGGGACGCTACGGCACAAAACATATACACTGAAGAAGGCTTAGTCACGAGGTATCCATAGGGCAACACGGTCGATTTATGTCAGTGTCAATCGCCATTTTTTTCTGGATGCCACGTGGTTGTCAGATTGTGCACGAACGCCGCATGCGACGTTGCCGGCTCTTTGCATAAATCTGAGACTATTATACAATTATATATTGGGCATTTATTACTGATACATATATGGAAGATTTTATAACGACATGTGTTATTAACATATTTTTGCTGTTTCGACAAATAAGTAATCACTTATCTGTTTAAGCAGCAGCGACAATAACACATGCCATTATAAAATCATCCATATATCTCTTATAGCTATTTGAACATTTGAGTACAGTAAAAGAATTTATAATGCTTGAGAATATATTTTTATCTAAATTTCATATTGTATGAACACATCAATAATATTTATGGTCCAAATATTCTCATTTCTGGTGATGGTCTTCTGCAGCACCTGCATGGAAAAATTGTTAGAATTAGTGATAAAGGCAAATTATTTCAAAACGAAATAATAGTTATCATTAACAACTGTAAGATTACTAGAGTTTCCAGATTTTTCATTAGAATTATAACATAGGGATATCTAATCACATTTCCATAATAGTGATAATTTTTACAGCATCATTAAAATATATCATACTTTTATATTATTTTATTTATATATTATTATTTATACAATATTTACTCAAGTATTCATTCATATTTATATTCAAAATTGAAATCTATGGAAATTGTCGTTAGTATATTATATCAACGACAGAATACCAACATTAAGGGTGAAGCGCTACAAATCACTCGATTTGACATAAACTTACATTAGCCATGGTTGTGAAACACATTAGCCATTGTCCTATCTATCTCTGATCACCATGGGTTGGCAGTGGAAGGAAGCTCCTTCAACTCTTGCTTCTTCAATGTTTCATAGCACTCCACTGTTTAATCAAGTAGAAATCCTCAATAGTTGTAATGTTCTAACAAATACATCCAATTTAGCGATAAGCATGTTTCCTTAGTCGATTATAATCATCTAGAAGAAAATTGAGTTGTTCTCTTATACAATTTCACCAACATGTTAGGTGTTATACACCAGATTCTAGTTCATCAACTTACAAAAATGTAGTTTAAATAAGAACGATTTTAATAAAATTTGTACTTACGAAAAAACTACCGGCCCGAGTAAAGATAACATGGCCACGCAAGACAAATATTGAAATATACTCTAATAGACTCTAGAATACTATCCGATCCGTAGCGAAATTTTTCCCGAAATCGTTGCACACCCCTTAAAAAATGCAAATGAAGTTTGGAAAACTTTCGCTTTGACGAACTATATGAGTCCGCCTTTACCACTGGATAGACATACGTTTTGGCAAAGAAGCTTTGAATAAAACATGGAGGGATACCAATGGAGATATATAAGATTTGAGGCATAGCAATGTTCGCCAACAAACCAAATAAAGCTGTTATTTACATTTTGCATCGCCTGGCGTCTATGCGGCGGAACGTTAATGTCTCTGAACACTTTTATAAATGCCCAGTTTTATAGGATAAAATGCTTTTTGAATTGAAAAAAACATTTTTTTTATTATATAAGTATATTTATTAAGTATTTGATCTAAAACTACATGATCATTAATAGGAGAAGTACGATTTTCATTTTCTCTACTATTTAGTAGGGGAATTTTTTTTAACATCGAATCAGCCGCGCAGGCAGAAGCCTAAATGCCGGGACACCGCGACTGCTATGATGATCCCAAAGAAATTTTGTTTGGGAAAAGCTTCCTCTTGTAGATTATTCCACAATCTAAACACCCTCGGGACAAAGGAGTGGTCGTATCGGCCAGTTCTGGATGTACGAAGTTCGACACCGCTAGGAACGGACGCCAAAGTCAGACAGGACTGTCTGGCAGGCACATCGCGCGGCGGCATCATGGAAGAGAGCTCTGAGGAGCAAAGCCCGTTGGTGTAGCGATAGAAAAGAGCAAGATAACCGACGGCCCGCCGGTGCGAAAGAGTCCCGAGACTGTCTGCTAGAGAAGAGTCATCGGTCAGTTGGACCGCCCTCCTCTGGACAGCATCGAGCATGTATAATGTAGTCGGGTAACGGCAGCATCCCAAACGTGTAAGCAATACTAGGCTAGGCCTTATCTGGGCCTTGTATAGAGTGAGAAAGTCATGCGGAGAATAGTACTTCTTAGCCCTAAACAAAGAGCCTAGCTTTTTCCCAGCAGCTGCAGCTATTGACGAGATGTGTTCGTGCCAGATCAGGTCCTCGGTGATCTGGATTCCGACCAGCCGAAAAGAATGGCTCTTTGGCAGAACTCGGCCGTGCATCGAAACTGGATGAGCGCTAGAACGCTTTTTGTCCGTCACAGTACAGTACTGTGTTTTGGAAGCATTAAATTGTACAAGATTGTTACGTCCCCAAACAGCAATAACTTCCAGCTTTCTCGTCAGAGAGGAAGTCGGCACTATTCTTCTCTTTTCCAGCTTACCGGCAGAGATCGGCTTGTTGCTCTGAATTCGTGCATGTAGAGTGCTGTCATCAGCGAAGCTGTGGATTGGGTTGATCGTGCAGGACAAGAGGTCGTTGATATGTAAAAGAAACAGTGTTGGAGCCAAGACCGATCCCTAGGGAACACCCGCGTTGACGTTGTGGGATGAAGAGGAGAACCCGTCAATTACGACGGATATCTTGCTGCCAGAGATAAAGTCAGCCACCCATCTGCAAAGCTTTTCTGGGAAGCCATAGGATGGAAGTTTGCTTCAGATGGCAGCGTGCCACAGCTGATCAAACGCTTTCGTGATGTCAAGAGCAACGACATGAGCCTCACCATAAGTGAGTAAGATGAGTTTACTCCACAATTTCGTGACGTAAGCTAGGACGTCCCCTATGGATCGTTGGTGCCGGAAACCATACTGCCTGTCGCTAATCAAGCTGTTACGTTCAAGGTAGTCCAGAAGCTCGCTATTTATGCATCTCTCCATCACCTTACTTATGCAGTTGTAAGGGTCGGTCTTAGATCCTTTTTTTTTGGGATGGGTTGGACATGAGTAAATTTCCATTTTTATGGTTTTTTTTGTGACTGCATTCGCACTTGGGCGAGGAAAAGCCTAGAGAACCTCAACCGTCACTGCTAAGATTAATTGTATCAGCTGAAGAAAAATCAAGTTGTTCCACAATTCTGGCTTCATTTCTACAATCGAAAATCGCCAGCATGCCACAGTTATAGTAACCTAAAAAAATAGCATTGAAGTAAAGGTTTATCCGTGGGTAATTTTTTAAGTAAGAACCGTTTTGTAATCTAGTCAGAGAAATTTTATTTATGAACATTTTTTCATTTTTCAACATAGCCACTATAAACATTAAACACAAGTCAAGTCGTGGTACCAAACTTATCCTGCGGTTTTTCATTACGACTATTTCCCTCGTCTTAATTTCTACTCACAAAAGCGGAATTTTGAATTACAAATGGTTGCTTTGTGTTTTTAGTAATAAACAAAGGTGTTTTTTGTATTCTTTCATGATATTTAAGTAGGCGTTGCAAACAAATGCTTGATGTAAGATTGTGTGATTACTGAGTTTAACATAGTCTGATCCTTATCTTGGCCACCGTGTAATACATTATTATAAAAAGGAATTTACAGAAACGTGCACTAACCTAACCTTCTTGTAAGTATTCTTATGTACTTACTTTCATTTCTGAAAAATCTCAAAACTGATAGCACAGGTAGCAAAATCGTCCGATGAGCTGGCAACGCCGCAGTCCAGGTGACAAGATCAACTTTCAAAACGTATGTCTATCCCGAAGAAAATTGTGTTTATTATTTCCCCAAATGCATTTAGGCCAGATAATTGATTTGTATTGATAAAACTGTTTTGTGGTCACGTGTCAAAACATTCTACGGATAACCCCTAAATGTGACAGTAACAGGAATCTTACCAAACGCATAGAATTTGGCGTTGATAGGTCCTGATTTTTGACAGTCTTACATTTGGTAGTACTTGTGATGACGGTATAAATGTCAAGTTATCTTATATGTTGTTATTTGTGTGTCGGTTGCCGTTGCCGGCATTGTCAGGTGATTGTCAGTTTGTCAGCCAATCCGACACTAATAAGCACCAACATTTTGTTTACAATACATATACGAGATTGAGTTATTTTTATCCACATTTATCATATTATCTGTTAAAGCTTATAATTATATAGGTTGTTCAATCTGCAGTATTCATACTGGTTTCTTGCGTGTTCATTTGCCAGCTTCATATAGGTAAAAAATGTCTTATAAAGATCAGTCTTACCCAGAGGAGCATCCAAAGAATTTGATACCAGAACTATGTAGGCAATTCTATCATCTGGGTTGGGTAACAGGAACTGGTAAGAATTATCATACCTCTGAATCATATTTGTCAACTTTACCACTTTGATATAAGATCTTCAATTAATTGCCTATCCTCAATTACCTAATGCGGGTAATTGAGATATACGCCCTCGCCCACCCCCTACAGCCCCAATTTTTAACTTTTACAATATTCTTCCTGAAAATGATAAAAAGCCTCTGGAGCACCAAAAAACAAAGTAACCAATTTTATTTTACATTTATTGCCTTAAGCTATGCCGCTACTGGACTGGTTTTCAAAAACTACAAACCTTTTTCACCCTGGGCATAGTAGCAATCTTGTGTGGAATGCCATCCAAATCTGAGCTTTCCAAGTAATAGATGTGGCAAGAATTAGTGGATAGACAGACTGACGGAAATGAGTGACATTGTTACATTACTGTCTCGCCAGTGGCGTGGGAAGTAAAAATCGGTTAAGTTTTGAATAGACCCATTTTGGCAAATTCAGGAGCCCTTAGCAACACTTCTTTATATTCCTCCGTAATATTCTGTCTCTATTTCTTCCTGTGGGTGGTTTCTGAAATGCTCTGAAAATGCCACTGGACTTTTATAGTTTTAGTTCCACACTCCTGCGCTAGATACAAGACATGAAGGAACATTATTTTTTGTGTATGTGGATGTGTCATCTTTCCTTCCGAAGTATGACTGGTGAAAGGAAAAATCCTACATATTGTTGGGCTTTTAAGAATATGCATTTCAAAGTGTAACGAAAATACCGTTTTTACAGTTTTAATACTTACTTATTACATTCTCGCTAATTTATAATAACAACACTAAGTGTTACAAGTCTAATTTATTACAAATTTATGACCATGTCGACTGAACTACGATATTCTGCGCTACGGCTCTGACGCATCGTCCCTATCTGTCCACTAACTGACTCAGCCTGATTCCGCCTGCAGTTCTTGTATTTATGAACGAATCGACGAGTCTCCAAGCGCTCCCGCGCCTTCCAGATGGAACTTAGAGTAGCATGGGTCACAGTTGTGATACAGGATAGGTCAAAACAATACAAATATGTTACGCACACATATGTATACTACATTACATATAACTTGAAATCAAACTTACTATGCAGATATATTATATAAAAATGTATGAATATATAAAAAGACAAAATAAAGGATAGGTAATCAAAAAATCGACTGATGAAAAGACAAAGATTAAAGAAATAAGATAACAATAAAATCATTTGTTCAATCACACGTTAAAAACTCCTCAACAGAGTAAAAAGGTTTTTGCAATAAAATTTCGTTGTTTTTCTAAAAACACTCGACTGTTCTTTGTAAAGTACGCATCAGTGTTTATAGTTATGCAATTGCGCAAGTGTGTTTTAGCATGGACTAATATATTATATCTTGTATATGCACCATTTTACAATTTTTTGATATATATATATACGTATATATATATGTATATATATAAAGAGAATATGATCATGCGGAGAAAGGTATATAACAACAAGTAGGAAAATAATGGGCAAAATCCGCAAAAAGGAGGAAAGTGGATTCGAGCAGAAAATAGGATAGGTAACCCGAGCGATACGTATTTTTCTGCTGGTTGGCTTCATCAGGCCCGAAATGAATGCACATATGAAACTACAAAAGTAGATACACATGCCCACACATCCGGATGCGGGTGTAACCATGTGTATCTACTTTTGTAGTTTCATATGTGCATTCATTTCGGGCCTGATGAAGCCAACCAGCAGAAATACGTATCGCTCGGGTTACCTATCCTATTTTCTGCTCGAATCCACTTTCCTCCTTTTTGCGGATTTTGCCCATTATTTTCCTACTTGTTGTTGTATTTATATATATATATATATATATATATATATATATATATATATATATATATATATATATATATATATATATATATATATATATATATATATATATATATATACAGTGACCGTCAGAATGAACGCCTGTTTTTCGAATGGATACTACATCGAGTGGGCTGGTCCCGTATCGGTGGGGAAGGGCGTGTTGGATAGTGGGAGACGTGCCGTTTCAGTTGGCAAGATGGTTTGGAACGTTGAGCATCGGGTGTTCACTGTACGTCGTACTTTAAAAATGGCAAGTCTGTCGTTCGAACGCAACGTGAGTTTCGCGTTCACTTTCGTGTTCCACGTCGTGGGACAGTACCAGACCGTAACACCATTTTGAGATCGGTGGAAGCATTCAACATAACAGGTAATGTCATAAAAAAAAACCGCCAGGGCGAAACCGAACTGTTAGAACCCCCCGAAAACGTAGACAGAGTGAGAGTTGATGCGCTGCAAAGCCCGAATCGTTCCGTCCGTTTGCGTGCCAGTTCCGTAGGGATCCAGGCGTCCTCTGTACGTCGCATCTTGAGTAAGGATTCAGTGTTCCATCCTTACAAAATCCAAGTTTGTCAACAACTGTTGCCAGGGTATTATGCACAACGTGTTAATTTTGTACATATCATGATTGAACAGTTGGATAACAATGACATGACGTTGTTTATGAGTGATGAAGCACATTTTCATTTACATGGATACTTCAATAAACAAAATTATGGATATTGGTCTCCAATGAACCCCCAACAGTTGCATGAGCACCTCCTGCATACCCCGAAGTAAGGAACCCAAATTCCTGCACGGATGCTGGCCGACGCAACGGGCTTATTTCGGGAGAGGCTTGATTCCTGCCATATTCCTGCATTTCGGCTAAAGGGCGCAATATGGCTACTTATTTTGACTGTACTACTCATTTAAAAAACATGCATTCTTTCTTTTTCTTTGGGTAGAAGGCAAAGTTTTGCATAAGTACTCTCTTACAACTTGAACTCGAGCTTTCGATGGTCATCATCGTCTGGAGCTAAATTTTTGAAAAAATAGCAACAATAAAGAATTAGGAGAAAAATAATTACTTCGTTTTCCTTCTAATTGTTTATTGTTGCTATTTTTTCAAAAATTGTTTCTTAGCTCCAGACGATGATGGCATAGACCATCGAAAGCTCGAGTTCAAGTTGTAAGAGTGTACTTATGCAAAACTTTGCCTTCGGCCCAAAGAAATTTAAGGATATTTTCTCCTAACAGTTAAAGCAAATAACTCTGAATACTATATATATATATATATATATATATACAGGGTGACTTTGAAGTTGAGTCATTAATTTTCAGATAATGATTGTAGAAGGAAGATAAACCAAAATATATGTGTAAAAATAAAAAAAAAATAAAAAAAAAATGTTACCTTGTTTAATAAAGTATCCTCCCGACAAGTATTTCAGTGCGGACCTGTATTTGATCGTGCGGTCTTGGAGCAGCATGCCCTCACCTGTGAGGTCTTAAGTCACCTGATTCACGAGCCCTTTGCACTACATTGACAAAGGCACGAGGGGTTGGTTGCACTCGATTGGGAAACCGATTCGCATAAATCCGTGATGCATCCGGGAGCATTTTGTAAAGACTGCCCCCCCGTAAATAAGAATCATGTCCACAAGTTCAGCATTTTCGTAAACATGTGCCATTTTTGATTTCGTTTGAGCCACGCAACACACTACTATTCACTCAGGATTTATCGACTGACGAAAAACATCGTGATAAACGTTTCAAATTCTTTGGCTTTTTTGTTTCCGATGCGATGAACCGGTCAGGCGGATTATATCCGTTGTCGCCAAACACGAGCATATAATAGGCAGGGCGGTACTCAAACTTCCAAAGGGCTATAACTTTGTTACTTTAATTTTACCAGAAAAATGGTAAAGGAAAAAAACATTTCTTTTGATCAGATCTACTCACTGTTAAAATAAATGACTCAACTTCGAAGTCACCCTGTATATATATAGGGCAAAAAATACAATAAATTGTTAATTGGGAAATTGGCAAATTTTTTAGGCTTAAGTTGACTCTTTTGACGATAAAATCAAGTTTTCGGCATTCTCTATGGAGCCTTCATCAGGATTTCGTCGTTGAGGTTGCAGCCACAAGGTGTTGCAAAACGAACGTAGAGAAGATAGAACTCGTAATAAGTATAAAAACAAAAAGACGGAGACATTGAGCTTGTTGATAACGACAGATACGTTCCTTACATGTTAAGAATATCAATACACCCGAACATATTAAACATTATTACACGTGAGAAGACATTTTAGTGAATCAATCGGAATGCAGTCTCTAACCTCCTACTTCCGCTACACGTGGAGAGGGGGACCTATTTGTTTCACTAAAATGTCTTCTCACGTGTAATAATTTTTAATATGTTCGGGTGTATTGATATTCTTAACATGTAACGAAGGTATCTGTCGTTATCAACAAGCCCAATGTCTCCGTCTTTTTGTTTTTATACTTATTACGAGTTCTATCTTCTCTACGTTCGTTTTGAAACACCTTGTGGCTGCAACCTCAACGACGAAATCCTGATGAAGGCTCCATAGAGAATGCCGAAAGCTTGATTTTATCGTCAAAAGAGTCAACTTCAGCCTAAAAAATTTTCCAATTTCCCAATTAACAATTAATTGTATTTTTTGCCCAACTGGCAATGACTACTGCTCATACATATATATAGAGAGAGATAGAGAAAGAGAGAAAATGATATTGCGTAGAAAGGTACATATAAAAGAATAGGAAAATAATGGGCAAAATCCGCAAAAAGGTAAAGTGGATTCCAGCAGAAAATAGGATAGGTGACCCGAGCAATACGTATTTCTGCTTGTTGGCTTCATCAGGCCCGAAATGAATGCACATATTATACAACCACAAAAGTCGATACACTTGCCCATACATCCGGATACGACGGTAACCTGAGGAAACGAAGATGGAGAGGGAAAAAAATGACACGAAGTCTCCAACAAGAGCCAACCTCCACATTGTAGTATAAAATCGCTAGAAGACCTCGAATTTTCAAGGTGACATCTAACTACAACCACGCGGTCGGTTATAACCACTTGCTGTGGTACTTTAAGCCTAAAGGATCTACAAAGAGAAAATGATCATGCGGTGAAAAGTATATAGCAAAAAATAGGAAAATAATGGGCATAATCCGCAAAAAGGGAAAGTGGATTCGAGCAAAAAATAGGATAGGTAACCCGAGCAATGCGTATTTCTGCTTGTTGGCTTCATCAGACCCGAAATGAATGCACATATGTAACCACAAAAGTAGATTCACATGCCCATACGTCCGGATACGGGTGTAAGCTGAGGAAACGAAGATAGAGAGGAAAAAAATGACACACGAAGGTATATAACAAAAAATAGGAAAATGATGGGCAAAATCCGCAAAAAGGCAAAGTGGATGCGAGCCGAAAATACGAGTATTACGTATTTCTGCTTATTGGCTTCATGCCCAAAATGAATGCACATATGCAACCACAAAGGTAGATACACATGTCCATACATCCGGATACGGGTAAAACCTGAGGAAACGAAGATGAAGAGGGGAAAAAATGGCACACGATTTTTGGTGGAAATGCCGTTTCTAAATCTAAATTGAGTATTATTGAATAATTTAAATCTATCAAAGAACCTGATGAATTGCAGAGAGACATATTTCTCAAACGCATTCGATAAGAGACTAAGAAGGGAGATCGGTCCAAGATTACATATAAAAAACATCAGACTCAAACAAGAGTCTAATTTGGAAACTTTCAGTTTGTCGGGAAAAGTTTCTTCCTCAATTGAAGAGTTAATTAAATAAGCTAGAGGATGACCATGAGGGTTGGACATTTTTAGTATATCGCTACTGATTCTATTTGCGCTGATGGAGTTAGAGCTTTTAAGACTACATATTATAGCTAATATGTCATTTGCAGGTTTAATATAAAATGAATGAATGTTCCTATCTGTATTGGTACTAGTATTTCCCACTTGTACATCATTGTATAAGCCTGTAATACTATTGAAATGTTGCAATAATCTATCAGCGACATCTTTTTTTTCTGTTATTTCATTTTCAACTTTTAATTTGATGACTTCCTTCTTTCTTTGATCTTTAAGAAATATATCTCCAGTCCTAGATAGATCATACAGGTAGTGAAGCTTCTCTCTTGATATCAATATGCCTTTAGTAAGCCATGGTTTTCTGGCTTTACTTGTTTTAACAGATTTTGTTATTAATGGAAATGCAATATCGATATAATATTGAATGTAAAAATGCATCAAATTTTTGGTTTGTATATCTAGTAGACTCGTAAACATGGTCCTATGTCTCTCGACAGGAGAGATTTAACATACTATGCAAAACTAATCTGATTCCGCCTTTAGATAGTTTTCTCATTTGCCGGAGAAATGCTATATTGTTAGGACTGCTGCATGCTCATAGGACATTCCATTATTTTACGTCTTACATTGCTGAAATTTTTAGGTGGTGGTATAAGTATAAAACATGGGGATAAAATCTATATTGCCCCATCTGCAGTGCAAAAGGAACGCATTCATTCATCCGATATGTTTGTACAAACCATTGAGGGAGATGATTTAGAGCTGCCTCCTCCAGAAAAGAAGTTGAAAAAGAGTCAATGTACACCACTATTCATGTGTGCTTATACAATGAGGAATGCTGGTGCAGTTATTCATACTCATTCAAAGGCTGCTGTTATAGCAACATTGTTATTTCCAGGTACTGTTTTTTCTTGGTGGAATGAATATGATGGTTATAACTCAATTCACCAATCCCTCATCAGATGCGCGTCAGAAGGCAGCCTATACCCTATTTCACGACTATCGATCACGCTTTGACGTCTACTGAGGTGAACAGCTGATCAGCAAGTGACACTTTTGTGTTAGTCTGCAAGGTTGGCAATAATGAATCGGGTGTAAACCTAGAAATCCTGTTTGTAGCGTTTTGTTTTTTGTATGCAAATGAACTCTTCTAAATAAAAGAGCTTTTATCAAGTACAAAATAAATATATGTAGTGTACAAAAAATCAAAACAAAATATGGATCTGTCTACCTGACATTGACGGATCCGTCAGAATGATGTGTTCTTTGCGGATATGGGGAATTTTGAAATATTACTATATAATTAGCTGTCATTTTACCGTATGGATACTAGTGAAAAAGACCGTATACCCTATTTCACGAGTATCCATCACGATAGAATGACATGTCATTATCTAGTAATATCTCAAAATTCGCATATCGGCACAGGACACATAATTCTGACAGATCCGTTAACGTCAGGTAGTCAGAGCCGTATTTTGTTTGTTTGTTGTACGTTTCAGATTCATTTTGTATTTGCTAACAGCTCTTTTATTTCGAAAAGTTCATTTGCATACAAAAACAAAACGCTACAAACAAGTTTCACTAGATTACCCGATTACACCCGATTCATTATTGCCAACGTCGCAGACACACAAAAGTGTCTCTTGCTGATCACCTCCGTAGAGGTCAAAGCGTGATGAATACTCGTGAAATAGGGTGTATATACGAGTAGATAATACATATAGGTTACGGTAGGTATTTACGTTCTCGAAAACTACTAGTACTCTAAGCAAATCAACTTTTTAGATCCAAAGGCGGGCGCAACTAGATATATAGAAAAACCAGATATAATACTCGTATGGTGATTTGACTGCTCTAAAATGCAACTTCAATTATTGCGGTTTTTCTAAAATTGTGCCCAAAAATTGTTTTTCGCACGTATTTTTCAAACTGAATTTACAAAAAAATTGTTTTATATGAAAATTGTGTAGTTTTTTATTACTGACCTACTGAGAGTAAGCCGATGTCATTCGGTCAATTACAAAAAAATCATTGCAAAAAATTGTCAAATAACTTATATCTAATCCAAAAACGAGCGATTTCAATGAAACTCTGTAATAGTATAGTCATAATGATGAATTCACAGTTTAATATATAGTACGCTAGAAAAAAGTGTTTCGAGAAAAAAGCAATTTCGTTTTAATCATATCATTTAATAACTAAGTAGATCAAAATATATTCGTAGAGTGTATTTTTCATATAGTAGATCAAAAAATCATTATTTATGTATTTGAAAGTTTTTTTTGTAAACACACCTTAGACGTCACAATGTCGGCATTTTTAGGAAACTACTCACGTATGCTGACCAACAAAAATCACATTATGACGGTCTAATGTCACACCCAATTGATGTGATTATATGACGTCATAGTATGTCGTATAAGACTAGATGAGGTCGAAATGACGTACAGTCGCTCACAAAAATAATCGCGCGGTGTATACAAATGCTCTCGAAAAATTGAGGATGTGACAACGACGGCCCAAAAGCAGTGAGTTGAGAAGTGGTAGAAAGGTACTCAAATTCTACTTACCTACCACTCTTGAACCCTCTTGTTCCGGAAGGTCTCCTCCGCAATTTTTTAGGAGCATTTGGTACAGTGTGTCGAAGTGACTAATAAAGAACTAAAAAACAGCGTTTGATCTAAAACACGTTCCAGTCTGAGTCCTCCGATGGTTCAGAATTTATTTGTAGCTTTTCATCAAAATCGCTTTGTTTTTAACAGGAGGCCAAAACACTTCTTGTTTCGTGGTCGCCACCCAAGCCTTATTGACTACGTGGCAATACTATCGTCCCTACTAAATTGTACCTTAATGCACGTTAAATTCGACGAAGCCATCGTGATGTCGGTAAACCCAGAGATTTATTAAACAAAGTGGCCGAACCATTGCTAAACGGAGAACACGCATGGAGCTTGGACATCAGTCGAGCTCACTGCCAAGCACAGTCGTGTTGCTTCGCTGATGGTCGACTAAATGATATATCGTTCCGAAATTTGAATTTTTACCCCGCTTGATTACAAATATTCTAGTAAAACTTCTATATTGTTATACAGACGAGTTTCTAATAAATTTGTTATTTACGGGAATAAAACAATGTAAATCGGGAATTTAAAATGTGTGAATACAGAATATTATTATTAGAAAAGTCATATTAACAAGATATTTTTGGTCGAAGAATCCCTGATACTTTTTTATAAATAACAATAAAGTAGTTATTAGTATTTGAATATCTAATCTTCCTCACTGTCACTAAAAGTATGTATTTTCTTTGTAGGTAAGTGTTGATTTTTCAGTACTGACTGTAATAAAAAAGTCATCAAAATGACAGCCTTTTAAAGGACGTGTTGTCATAAAGATGGCGTCAATAAAGGCGTCACTTTTTAGTCAATGACGATTCCGACCAAAAGTGACCGGATAATGACGGTCATTTTAGCGTCATCATGTTCACTGGGTCCTTTGTTGATTTATTAATTGACCTCAGCTTGGTCTTAGTAAATCTGTAATAAAAAAGTACACTACTTTCGTATAAAATATTTTTGGTAAAAAGCCCAAGTTGAAAAATGAGGGCAAGAAGCAGTTTTTATAAAAACTGCAAGAAATAAACTAAACATTTTAGTGTATTCGAAGCATGGTATTTATGTAATTTTTCCGTAATAGTCGCCCCCGTCCTTCAATGCTGGCAAAAATATGAGGCGTTTGGCGTAATTTGCTTGGAATATTTTGGATTCTTAGAGATGACATATATTATGCTGAATGCGTTTTGAGAACGTGAATACCTACCCTGATACAGACATTTAATTTGCCATTCTGGATCAGACCAGTCACCTATAACCACAATACCAAGTTTTTGTGTATCAGATCTGCCTGTATGCCTACTGCGCCATACAAATATCTACTTCTCTCTCTGCTCTGAGCCTGAGCACAATTATCTTTGCAAATTTCACCTAAGGGTCGCTATTCTTTGGAAGATTCACTTCAAAACACATTTTCTGTACAAGCATCCAATATCAGATCCATTGGTCCCGGAACCCCACACAAAAGAGATCCCAGAACACTTGTGGTTATTGCTGAAATTATGTAATATTGATTCTTCCTTGGAGGACACTATGAACCTACCAGATCGGCAAATCAAATTGCAGCGTATAGGATGCAATGATGGTTAAACTAAACAATATTAACGTATTTTAGGTAAAGAATTCAAATGTACGCATTTGGAAATGATCAAGGGAATAAAAAATCAACAAACTGGAAAAAACTTCAGGTAATCTTTTTAATGTGAAAAAAGCTTGAATAGTTTGTTTAACGAAAAAAAAGACTAATCGCGCAGACAAAAAATAGATTTGAACGAGAAAAAAATAAAAATGTTATGATTGTTGTTCTAATAAATATTATATGGTTGTAGGTATGATGAAGAATTGGTTGTTCCTATTATAGAAAATACACCATTTGAGGAAGATCTGAAAGACAGGCTTGCTGAGACCATTAGACAATATCCACATACCTGTGCAGTGCTTGTCAGAAGACATGGGGTAATGTTACAAACTTCTGATTGCATACGCGTCATCTGTTTTACTGCATTTTGAAACCATTAGCTTTCACGTAAGAAAAATATTGTAATAGAGAACACATGTCTGTGTGAAGTAAAAGTCAGTAAAGTATTCAGTTTTCCAAATACTGACCTACATAGGCTATTTTTTATTTTCGATTGGAGTAGTACCAATGAACTTCTTTCCTTTTTAGGTATATGTATGGGGAGATACGTGGCAACAAGCAAAAACTATGACTGAATGCTATGACTATCTGTTCGATATAGTTGTTCAAATGAAACAGCATGGACTAGATCCCAGCTTGACTCCAGAGCAATATGAACTGAAAACTCAAAATGGGAAATGATCTAATGATACAGTGTATATGGATAAAAGAAAAAATAAATATTTGGTGCCATTTTAATGTAACTATAAATATAGCCTTTAAGAATTCACATACAGTAAATATTTTTAGTACAGTACTCGTCGAATGTTGTCTCCTCCAGTGTTCGTGGATTATTGGAATTCACTTTTGACTTTTGATAACCCCACAAAAATAATCGCATGGCGTGAGGTTGGGTGACCTAGGAGGCCAGTGAATGTTTCCAAACTTCGATAAAGCATTTTGAGGAAAAAGTGCTTTCACCGAGTCCATTCGATTCTCTGGAAGTATGGGCAGTGGCCCCATCCTGTTAAACCAATGTGTTTCTGTTAAATCGACGTTCTGTTCTTACATTAGGAGGATTTGCAATGACCGAATCACTTACTCGCCGCACATTTTCTTCGGTTGATTCAGTGGGTGTGGGGCCAGGAATGGGTTGACTAAGAAAAGGGCCTGTTTCATGGAACCTCTTAATCCGCTTTTTCAATAGGCTGTTACTTGGGGCGTCTCTTGCATCGTGTAAAAAATTTCCGAAGGGCAGCTGCGTATGAATTACCACTCTTAAAGTAAGCATCGATAGCAAAGGCTCGTTGCGCTCCGGTCCAACGTTCCGTTGTCACTATCTAACCCGCACGCCGAACGCATCGATTAAGACCTCTCCCTACTTCCTCGCGTATACGGTTGCTCGTAATTCAAATTTGAAATGTGAACTATCCCACTGGACATATATGTATAATGAGAACAAAAAATCTGATACATGCCTGTTATTGTTTTTAATTTTTTGCATAAAAGAATCTATTATTATTTCTGTTATACTTAGATATTGAATATTTGCGACCTTAATTCTTTATATTATATATAATTCATATCCAATGGTGCTTTCTTGTATGTCGATACATATTGGGAACTTTGGAGTAAAAATATTAATCACCTTGATTATTGAATAAGTTTTATTTTATGCATGATATTCTAAACATTAATTCGTACATATTTATTTTGCATTTACACCAGAAGGTATACCTACTATAAAAATAATATCACACACTTCATAAAGGAATGAAATGGTAACATTCTATGTCACCATAAACAAGGTCAGCATTACGCTGATAGATGTAAAGAAAGGAACGTAGTTTTCGCCAGTATTTCAAAGAATATTTGAAAATTGATAGTGACGAGATAATCTGAAACCTCTTAGAGACAACATTATATAAATCCTTTGAAAACCGTAACACCTGGTTGATTAGTGGATATTCCACGAATCACTTCTAACAATTTTGTGCGCTATTGTGAGTTAGTGAATAATGCCCAAAAATGTATGAAATTTTAACGTTTTAAGGTTAGCTACCCTACAATGCGTACTGGTTCTGTTACTATTAGCATCCTTGGAGTGTTTTTATGTAGGCTTTCCTTATGTTTCTGTATGAGTAAGATTCCTAAGCAGTGGAAAATTTAACTACATTTCTACTGTGATGGTTAGAGGAATTCACTTCTGAATTTATACCGACATTGTGATACCAACAGCAATGAATTGGGCATTTACCGTGAAACTTTAATTAAGCGCAATACCTTTTGGAAAAACAATTATTAGGTGATTGTACTTCTCCGAAAATAAATACATATCAAATGCATAGACATCACAACAATCAATAATTTCTTAACATTAATATCAATTCGCTCTTAGAAAATCACTGGAAAGCACAACCCATTGCGGCGGTCTTTTCATAGAAAAGCATATATGCCGTGCTCTGTAGAACTTCATCTATTGATACTTCTCTTATCTCTACATCTGAGGTATAGTACCACCTAGAAAGGAATAAATACACAATTACAGCAAAACTAGCCGGACACTCGGAGAAAAAATCTTTTACAAATCGTTTGGCACAGATAACGCCCTTAGCAGCACCAAAATTGTAATAGGCTGCGCTTTCATAGCGAACGGTCGCATATAACAGGAAATGCGGTTTTTTCAGCTTTCTAATCAAATAAAAATCACAGGATTGCCTTCCAATGATGCAAAATTAGTTTTTTATACATTTTATAATAATTTTCTCATATAATATAACATAATATGGGAAAACAGTACGGCAGAAACCACTGATATATCAACTTTTGTCGTATTTTAAAGCAGTTTTCTAAACAGTGCGATCAGTTGGTAAATGTCATATATGTTCCACTAAAATATCGGTCAAATTGTGACCAAACGAAAGTGCTACCATAAGTGAATAGGATAAGCAAATGGCGAAATATAAAAACATTTCAGCATCAGGGGTGCGTTTGTAAGTCATTTAGTAACGTAATACCGTACACAGTAATTTAGATCGACAGATGAAATTTTACTCTGGAATACTGTGTATCTTTTAATGTTTAGAACGCCTAAATTCAGTGCCGTCTTTAGGCTAGCAAATAAAGAGTTTTGGTTGAATGAAAATAATGTAATGTACAGATAGAGATACGTGCCTAAAATATCTTGTCTGATTACACTCGTAATATGATTGATTAACTACAAAACCCACGAACGAGATAATCGAGACCAAAAGAATGTAGATCATTGTTTGAGTGGCGGCAGGGTCCGGGATGACATTCTCCGAACCCCGCGCATCCCTGTGGGTGACTCATGCTTGCCGGCGTGCTGCCATCACACATTAGTTGCATCACGCGCGATTTAGTTGAGAGTATTGTAACTTTGATGTTTCTAAGCCCTAAGCGGTCTGTGGTTATACTATGATCATGTGGAATTTCATGTTGATTATATTTTAGTGTATGACACAGATTTAAATCATGTCTAGAGAAAGAGACAAATTTAGGAAATTTAAAAGTGGTTATGAGAAACAGAAAGGACAAACGTGAACACTTACGAATGAAGAACAAATAATAGTATGTGCAAATATTACGAATATTTTGTGCTTATTTATAATTGATTATTCACAACAAAAAATTCTTATATGAATTTATTTCCTGTCAGACCTAAATTTTATTATAATTTTTCAAATGGTTCATTGCTTAAAAAATTGAAGTGTAGTAAGTAAATCGTATTTCTTTCTTATCTCAATTCTTTACACAGAGTGAAATATTGTAGGTATACTTACATCAAAAATAAAAATAGACTGGCAAATGAAAAAAATCACGTAAATAATTGGCGTGTTTTGAGATGAACTGACTTCATCAAAAATGATAAAAACACTTTTTTGCACAAGAATTTTAAAAAATTTTCGGAGTAGACCACTTTGTTTAAAAACAGGCTTCACGAAAATGTTTTGCTCCAGGCCTCGCATCTGCTAAGGACGGCTCTGCCTAAATTATTACAGAGTCTTGTAATCACACTTGATGACCTCCGACTAATTTCTAACCATCTTTTCTGTGGCCATTATTTTTATTATAAGAAACGCAATAGCTACGAGGTAGCCAGCAGGGAATACGCATGTGATTCATTCAATTTATTTTTAGTTACAGCATATGTTGCTACAGAACGGTACTTTCAACCTTCTCATTAATTTGTAAAAATGATAAAAAAATGTGGTAAATTTGAAAGATCGAAACGGAACGATATTGGCGTGACGTCACAATATCGGCAAGTGAGCAGCCAATCCTTTGGCGCTCTCATTGATTGTCAACATATCCATTTGTCAGTTCCAAACAGTACAGAGCCGCTTTCCAGTGCCTCATTTGTGTTACTCGGAGTAACTCGGTACTGCTCACCACCTGTCACTACTATTCCAATGCTCCACAGTGTAATGTACCTGAGCTACTCATTTTTTAAATCCTCTGCCCTTGATGCACTAGCTGTTTATTCGGTGTTATTCGCTCCGAAATCGTGGGGATAACGAAAATGACAATATGTCAAGATTGTTAGGTTATGTTTTTTAACGTTTTTGTTTTTTGCATTAAACTCACATTAAACCGATACCATACAATAGAGGATGATAAAAAACTGATAACGTTATGATACTGAGTCGCAACGTAGATTTGAGATTTTTTTTGACATTATGTAGGTTTTCTACAAGATATTAACTTAGCACTTAGTTGTACGTGTTGCCTAAACGTCATGACTCTTGTTATCAATCTTTGGCTCTAGATGTGATGTAAAATCTGCTTGTGAGATGGCATTACTGGAGGTCTAAGCTGTAAGTTGTATGTGTTGATGATAATTACATTGGGTTCTTGTCTCAAATACACTTACTTGAGATTCAAAGCTAGAAATTAGTTGTGCATCCACTTTTTCTTATCCATTCTGGAAATTACATATACCTACAAATTTGCTGAATTTCAAAAATGAGAGAGATAAGAAATAATTATATTCACTGGATACTGTCGAATTACAAGCCATATACATGCTAACAGTAATTACACACAACGCGGGCGCGGTGATGATTTCCCGTAATTCTCCTCAGTTTTTCGTAATTTATAACTTTGAACATAACTTCTCTTCAGAAAGCACAACATAAAAATAACCCGTCGGGCACAGCCAATCGATATACTTCATTGGCAGCATATTCAGTAATGATTTTCTCACATAATCATCCACATGCTATCTTGCTATTCAACCAACTGTCTTCTCAGAGATAAAAAGTACAGACAAGGATCATTTGGCCTCACAAAATATATGCAACCAATAACGCAGGTAGTTTAGTTGAGTGATTCCTCCTTAGATGGACGTTCACAACGATCCTAGTGAGCAAACGTGGAATAACTGTTTGTGCCCTAAAAACTACCTAGTTTGCAAGATGACATCTGATAGGTTTTTTTTACGTTTTATAGGTTTTTTACATGATACCCATGCCGGAGCGTCATACTCCGGGTGCATACAACTCTCAATTCAAAAGCACTGGAAAGCCGCTCTGGTTGATGCGGAATCTGTCATTGAGCTATCTAACTGCAATGGGTTATGCCCCTTTTTCAACATAGATGTCAACACCTTTTGACAGCAGGTAGGCTGCCACCACCCACGAGAATTTCGCAGCCAAGATAACGTCAGAAGAACAAGAAAAGACTGCTTGATTATTTTCAAAACTTGACAGCAAATTATCCAAACATATAATAAAATGACAAACCATGAGCTATACCACCACTTCGAAGCGCGCGAAAAATAGAATATTTGAAAACTTGACAGCAAATTAACCAAACAGAATAAAATGACCAACTAAGAGCTATGACGTCACTACGAAGCGCGTGAAAACGGATAATATTAAAGTAAGTAAAAACAAGCATTTCCCTATTAATCGTGCAAAATATAAATACTGAGAATTCTGAGCACTATTTGGTAACCAAGTAAACAATGAACCATGAGAATAAAAAGTTACAACACTCTTATTCCCAGAGTGTTGAGCACAGGCAGACAAGTGCAATTTTGACGTTCCAGAGGGATTATTTTGTTCTGTTTGGAACCGGTGCGTCAAACAATTACGAACGCTGGAATTATTATTGAGTAGTACTTAGTACACTCTGTAACAATTTACGAACGCGGCCCTGCTTGTTTGATAGTTTGGCATAAGTTAAGTATATTGAAATTTTAAATGAACGTGGAGCGAAGTGCATAGTGAGATTACTGAATCCATCGCCGCGCTCGTGGTGGTCAAAAAGGGAAACATCATTGGAAATATAATGCAATATAGGCATGGGCTTTATGGTGAATACGTAAATATTTCGCTTACATCGAACTAAATTACCAGTTTGAAGTTCAAATCATTCTTTCCTTCAAATTCAGTAATCTCTGTAATTATGGCAAATACAAAGATTTCTATCCGACATCGGCCAAGTAGCACTATAAACACGCACCTAGCGAATATACAGAAATATTACAAGCAACAAACGGATCCATTATTCACCTGCTATTATGGCATCCTCTTCGATAAGTGACAAAATGTCCAGAATGTGCATCTCCTGTGTGCACCACAACTGCTGCTAACTGGTACACGTTTCTGAACTCGTTAGCCATGTCACTAAGTGAGCTGCCAGTCCAACATAGCGGCGTGCTACTTGATAAGGGACTTCCACCTTCACTGGTACTAGTATATTGCTGAAAATATCAAGTCTCATCATACTACTGGCGAAATTGACACGGTATTTTTCAAATCGAAGAGCTACAAAGACCTTGGTGATGATTATAATACTAATGCGAAGCAGTTGCATTGGCATAGGCTACATGTAGCTTGGATTGCTGATTTTTTGGTGACCCGTTGTTATTTGATACAATGATCATCCAATGACAGACTTGGCCTATACTTGATGAGTGATGATTACACTACCAGATCCGCATTCACTTTGGTCTATAGATAAGACATACAAAGGAAATTAAAATCATTCATAATAAAAATGTATACCCCACTGATAGTTGTGCTACTAAATTCGAGTATCCATTACATTTTTACGTCTTCTGAGGTAAACAGCGGATCAGCAAGTGACATCTTTGTATTAGTTTGTGACGCTGGCAATAATAAATCGGGTGTAAATCAGATAAAACTTGGGACCGTATTCAGAGCTCTTGTTCACATATATAGATACTGGGAATTTTTACAATAAAATTTATGAAGCATACATAGAAAAATGTTTATTAGAAAATTATTAGCCAATAGACTGATGTGTTGTCTTTTCCGGTAACTGTAATTTTACATGTAAAAATAAAATAGAGATGTGTTTTTGGTTAATTGTTCGTCATCAGTATAACGTAATTCAATTTCCCTTTAAAATCATACATCAACTTGCCTTAGCGCATTATGCTTCCGCGTTTTCAGACAATTTAATCAAAGAGCACTATCAAATCTTGCCGATATGACACGGAAACAAGCATGCGTCGAAGCGCAAGCCTCTCACCTCTTTGGAAGTTTCGCAGCTGGTAGCATTACATTAAGTATAATAAGAAGGTCATTGAGTGAAAACAATATACTTACCATATTAGGCAATTTTCTTTGGTAATGAGCTTGTAAAAATGTATATGCTGACATGGATAACCTCATTGGAAACTGCACATAGTCTTGTCTTTTTGACATTCCACCAGGCTGCCATGTATTTCTTGATATGTGTATACACAGACAGACAGGCAACTACAAACGTTTTCAAGGTTTTTAATAACGTTTGGAATTAGAACAAAAATATAGGAAGTTCTGTTTATCAAATTTTCAAAAACGACAAAAACATTAATGATGCTCCTTTTGCATTAAAATATAATTTCTTTAATACCTCAAATACTGCTAGCTTTGTTCAGTCTCAATAGTGACTTACTCTTATTTAAAACGGAACTCACAGCAAATATTTCGGATAACAATTCTTATCGCTAGATAGAGTATGGGTTTTTCAGTTTCTCAGCAGTAACTGAGTATTCAAGATTGTTTGCACCTATTGATTTTGAATCCCACATTTTCTACCCTACCAATTACAATAGGAAACAAACCTTGCCAAAATTGAGTATCTTGATTTGCCTCGACAAGATCGGGGGACCTTCAGGATCCCTGGTTTTATTACAGCCTTCACATTGAACATCCTGCACTACTTCAGGAGTTACAAAGTTTGTTAGCAGCTGATGCAGCTTATGTCTGCCCCAGCCAAGATCTCCTGCACCACTGGGTAACGCTAGTGATAGGCTTTCGAATTTATCATATCGAACTGCAGACTGAAATGAAAATGTATTATTACTAACTGGCTTAATCTGTTATACGGCTATTTTCCTCAGAGAAATACCCCAAATAGAGATATTATCGAAAAATTGCCAATGCACTATTCCAAAGTGGACGTTCGGAAAGGACACGTCACAGTCCATAAAATTATTTTTGAAGGATTGCCAGATAAAACTACCAAATCATTTTTATCGTAGAAAGATACTAAAAAAAGTCTTTGGGTGCCAATTTTCCGATACAACGCGCGAGCGGAAACGATACGAGATAGTGAAGTAGCAATTCTAAAACAGTACTTTGAAACCTAAAGTAGGATATTGTTAGATATAAAAGCATGAAAACCTTGGAACCCAGGTGCACTGAATGGATATGTGCGCTTTTTGGTTTTCAGTTGCTTAATTTTTTTTAGTTCCATTTTCGCAACGCAGCTGCTACTCTTCTTACACACACACGTAGATTGAATGATAAAAGACTGTTATTTTTGACTCAATTACGTCTAATACAGACTGTCGACATTGTAGTTGTATCTTCAGGCACTACTGTGTTTTAGATTGACAAGCAGTTGCCATACTGACAGGGACAAGCGTTATTGTGGAAGTCTCCGACGTTGGTGCGAAAATTTTCATGGCGGTGAGACAAAACTAAAAAGCGTACGTCCCCGTGTTTACACAAATGCCCTCGCATAGAAGCCCATTGCATATGTATGTCTGAGAGAGAACGATGTATGAAAGCAATTTCTGAAGTTCAACTGTGATACGCCAGAAAACATAGAAAAGCATATAGATCTAATTAAACTGAACAAAAAAGTTCATATAAGCTCATGTATTTTACACAGTCATTACTGACATTCAGGGTGTTCCAAGTCCACCTCATTCAATTATACATTTTTATTTCTCTCAAATTACTTTAGTGATTTAGATGAAACTGTGAATCTAGACATTGAGGACCTAATATGTGTTGGTTATATCGGACAGTTTTTATCCTAGAATCAGCACCATCAAATTTTAACAGGGCACTTCGGGATTTAACTGAGCATGCCAGGAGTTTCCTTGTGAGTATGGTCAAGGGACTTTCAGATAAAACAATATTTTCTTCTGCTTGTAGACAATTAGTTTAAGAGTTTGTAACATAATCAATCAGAAATGCGGGAGTATCCCCTGGATCGCCCCAAGTTTACCCAAGGGAGGGACGGGAGAAAAAATAAAAGGCAGTTTTCGATTGAATAATTTTTACTATACTAGAAATAATGAAATATACAGATTGGCTTCAGATGAATCAGATATAATTAACATGACTTTAGTCAAAGTTTTCTATTTTTCGAGGTATTGCGACTTTCGTTTTTTCAAAAAATCTCTACTTTTTGCTCCTTCTTTGCCTATTATGGCTATAAAGAACTTCTACCATTAATAGTTGCTTGAGACAACAGAGTATTTATTTCATTGAAAACTAGCATTGTATGTTAAAAAAACTGAATTATTACATTTGGTTTCACTGCGAAAACATTTACTAAAGTTTGACTAATTACTGTGGAAAAAAATATATACCAGATTGTGAATTAGCAAATGACCTTAAAAACTAGCTATTATAATGTTCTTTCAAAACTAGTATAACATTTCTAGGTTCTTTTTACTAAAAACTGAATAATTCCAAGTTTTGTCATTGAATATTTGCAAAATACTATAAATAAAAAATTATATTATTAGAAGAGCATTTAATAGGCTGCTTTTTAAGATTATTTGCCGATACAGTCTGGTACATTTTTTTCACAGTAATTAGTCAAACTTTGGTAAATGTTTTCACATTGAAACAACATGTAATAATTTTTTTTAGAATACCATGCTAGCTTTCGATGAAATGAATGCTCTGTTGTCTCAACCTCTCAACCAACTACTAATGGTAGCCCAGAAAAAAATCAAGTTAGAAGTTCTTTATAGCCATAACAGGCAAAAAATTAGCAAAAAGTAGGGATTTTTAAAAAAAACTTAAAAGTGACAATATCTCTAAAACTAGAAAACTTTTACTAAGGTATGTTGATTTTATCTGATTGGTCTGAAGCAAATCTACCTCCCGTGTCACTCTGGCGTGTTATTTCAGGGACACCCTGTATATGACTTCATACAGATGCGAGTTCTTTTATTTTTTACAAGGATGGTTAAAGCTAGGGTGATCTAAAAACATTTTGCACCTTCCAGTTTAATTCTGTGAGTTTCACATTTGGTGAATTTATATGGTCACTTGATCATACTGACAAAGAAACCATTGGTGTGTTCAGTTAAATTCAAGATACTTACCCGGTTGACAATTCATAGTGCAAACCATCGATACATCAGTCAACTAATTTAAGAGACATTGAAAATATTGACATTAGAAAAAACACCCTGTATAGGAAGCGATAAAATAATAAGTTGGCATGAAATTGTTTAGCTTTGTGTAATGTATTAGCCAGCATATTATAAACCTGATAAAAAACGAAATTTAAAATAATCGCAAATCAAAATAGCAAAAAATTAATAAGTAAACTTTTTAATACTTATGCAGTATACTTCATAAGCACTTCACTGAAAATCTGAAAAATCCATTAATTGGACCTGGGTTCCAAGGTTTAAGCCCAAGAGCACTGTATGAGAATATCAAATTTCAAAATATCTAGATTAACATTAAACTTATCAGGACATTCTAGTAACTGTAGAGAAAAATCAATCTCACCTTATGACCACATTCTGTACACCTTAACTGACTAGTCAGTGTGCCAGTAAAAGGATGAGATACTGGTTGTGGTGGAGGCCCACTCATCTGTAGAGCTCTACATGATCTTGATATCCACCTGTTCCAGAAATCAGGTGTTATTATATGTATTGCTGATTTTACATCAATGAAATGCAATTAAATTGTTAGACATTCACCTATTTCTTCTCAAAGCTCCACCCCTCCAACTAGCACTCATGGGTCTACAAAGCTCGTTCAAAGACATGACACTTCCTAGAGAGTCACCCCCTCCTCTGGTAACAATATCTTTGTCTTCATCAATGTCAATGTCATCAAGTTCATTCATTCCCAAAGCGTCCGACAAGCAGCCTGCTTTGCGGCCAATCTTTTGTGTCTCTTCATCCAATGTGGTTAAGATAACATTAAGTAATTCGTGAGCATCTTGCTCACCAGCTGGTATTACCCATCCTAGTCTCTTTAATGCATTTATTACAGCTGCTGGAGCATATGTATCTCGTACTGACTTATTTGTACCATTTACAACTGAAAGTATATTTATCTCATTATCCTGGAACCATGCCCCAAAATTGCAGCAGAACTAATAAGGCACAAGGGCCTGAAAAAACAGCCCCATAAGATAGACCTATATGATGAGGACCTAAACAACTGACAATATGGGAGAGGTATAGATTCAGTCTTGCCTGTCCTGGCTGAATCTGAAGCATTTTTGAGAAACTTCGATTAGAAGAGTTTTGTACAGTATCAACAGGGGAAACAGTAAAAATTCTAGACTGCTAGATAGGTTAATGAAAACCATGATGAGGGATAATAAGCCAAAGGCTGTAGAGATATCAGTTTTTTGTTGTTGTTTTGAACAACATAAATATTTAGAGCAGGATACATGCCCCAACCTATCATCCAAAAGTCATCACAAACATTCTGGCACATGATTTCTCAGATGGCTTTTTATGAGTACGCATTAAGGCCTGTGTGCATTGAATTTGAAAAAACTCCACTTGGCAGCACTGTTACTAGGACATTACTCAAATTGATGAATGCAACAGGCCACTGAGTTCGTTTGGACTGGTCCATCCAGTGGAGTAAGGTACAAATGTTTTCTTTCCATTAATATTAAATTCCATTTTAAAACATTACATCAATTACTGGAGTATTTAAGAAAGAGAACTATATAGGTATATTGTATACTACACTTAAAATTACTAATTTCTCAATTGTTCTGAGGTATCGCAAAATATAAAGTTCAGTTGTCAAATTGACAGGATATAATTTTAAATGACATTATTATTTATGTTTGGAAAGAAATGCCACATCTTGGGTTAGTAGTAAAAAAATACATCATAATGAGATATTTCGAAAAAATTGCTAGTTATCAATAAATGTAATATTACGATTTCAATAAACAATTTTAAATTTACTTTTCATGTTGCTAGAATATTTCAAAACTGAGCTCACTTCTACCAAACTAACTGCTTTTATATTGAACCATTACAACATTATAGTTTAGAATTTTTTTATTTTCCAATGAGCATAACAATATTATGAAGCAAAAACACGTGTTTTTTTTCTTTTCAAGATACCTATCTATGCATTTTTTGAACCTACACTGGGTGCAAAACAAAGCTCCACTACATCTTTATGTTGCTCTCCTTGTCTCCAATACATTCTCATACACAATGGAAGCTTACCTGAAAGTACAGTTGCTAAAGTACTTTTGAGGCTGGTCTCTTTAGCATATTTATCCTTCTCCAACCATTGCACGAACTGTGGACATGCTGCCAAGGCATGCAACACAGCATTCAGGAAGCACGTCTTTCCAAGATTAACTAGGCCAGCTAGTCTACCCCTACCTCCAGCTGCTCCTGTTGAGGGGCCCCAGAATACGAACGCCCCTACAACAGCAGCAGCGGTTATTCCTGCTGCAACTAGAATTCTTTCAGATTCCATCCTTATGTAATGTGGGCAATCTGTATCAGTTTTTTGGCTCCATAGGTGCGCTCTACTCGGTAAGTAAAATAGTCACTTCTTCACCATCTGTAAGTCTGTTTTAATTTTCATGATATACATGGGACAATTGCTGAAATGTAAACATCATGAGGGTAAACATTTTTTAAAATCTTTAACCATTCTTGTCAACTTGACACTCGTGTCGCAATCACAGAACACAAAACACTGAGTGACATTAGTTTTATGTCAATTCGGATATGAACGAATTCGGGGAAGTGTTGGTATTGTGACTTGTCATTTCATCACAATCTAATAGATTAGTTCACCATTTTGCAGGCTATTCCATTGAGGAGGCTTAATGCTGTGAGTGTTTGCGCATTTTAAACGATGATTTTTTTGGTCAAAGAATGCTATCATCTAAATTACGGAAATCCGAATATGCAGTTAAATTCTATAGCAATATAATTCGAATCATGCCTATAGCAAACGTAAGCAAATGGTTATTATAGTACTTTGTGCGGTTTTTGGCCGTTAACACCAACCTGATGCCATACGAAATAGGTAAACAGATTCACTAACTGTGCTTGCTTATCTTCCCTAAGGGGTACTCGTTTCCGTACATAAACATGAACTGGGTGCCGAGACCATTGTTTTATTCACTTTCTCAAAAAAGCTTATCTGAAGTTAACACGGACACTCGACATGGTAAGTTGTATTCAAGAGAGTGAGTCAAAACTAGAAAATGTATGTCGGAGAGTTGACACAAACGTCCACGCATAGCAATGGGACTTTTAGATTAGTTCTATCACAGTTAGTAAAATATCTAGGTATTATCCTGGCCTGTAAACTGAACTGGAGAGGGCACGTTGAATTTAAGGTTAACAAGGCGTTGTTGGTGTTAGGTGGGGGCTCAAACCCAACGTGGTTTACTGGTTCTACACGACAATAGTGCGTCCATCTCTCTTGTACGGCTCCTTGGTTTGGTGGCCTTGCATTGAAGCTGAGACGAATAAGGCCAAATTCAATAAAATTCAGCGATTGGCCTGTATTAGCATTACAAGCGCAGTGCGGACAACGCCATTGAGTGCAATGAAAGCTCTGCTGGATCTCCCACCGTTGGATCTAGTGATCCGCGGAGAGGCGAGAGTAGTCGCACATCGACTGGGGAGTCAGGGCAGCTGGGCCTTCTTGAATCCCGGCAAGGGTCATACTGCCATCCTGGTCGAACTGCAAAGGGAGGATCCTGTCCTTCTGAGCGGGGGCGATGTAGTTACCCCTAAGTATCGCTTCAACCGCATGTTTAATGTGGAGTATTCAACGAGGGAGGAGTGGGACACTGGCTACCGGAGGCTCACTGGAGTGAGTGGGTAAGTCTGGTACACGGACGGCTCGATCACCGAAGAGGGCTCTGGCGCTGGAGTCTCGGGGCCTAGGACTAGGCTATCTCTGTCTCCTGGTGCATACACCACGATTTTCTAAGAGGAAATCGTTGCGATTTTGGCTTGTGTATCCCTCATTTTGGAGAGGGGGGTGGGTCTAGGAGAAGGATAACAATCATCTCCATCAGCCAGGCTGCAATGAAGGCACTAAGATTACTTCGAGCCTTGTGTTGCAATGCAGGGAGGCTCTGGATTGTCTAGCAGCGAGGCATCCGGTATCGTTAGTGTGAGTACCGGGGCACGCTGGTATAAAGAGCAATGAGACGGTGGACGCTCTGGCGAAGACAGGATCAGAAAGCAAGCTCGTTGGTCCTGAGCCAGCTTTAGGGGTGCCCGCGCTAAGAGTTGGGGGGGGAAACGGAGAAGTGGATTGCAAGACAACACTCTCAGAAATGGAGAAGCATCTCCAAACATCCACGTCAGGCACGGGAACTCATTGCAGGGCCCAACGCTAAGGATGGACATTTCTGCTTATCTTTGGATAGAGCCAACCTAAGGTTGCTGGTGGGACTGTTGTCAGGCCATAACACATTAAGGCGCCACATGCACGTGATGGGGGTGGCTGAGGATCCGTTGTGTGAGCGCTGCGGGGTAGAAGAAGAGACCTCGGCGCACGTTCTGTGTCGCTGCGATGCTCTTAGTTACTACAGGCAGACTATACTGGGGTCCATCACTTTGGACCCCCAGGACATTAAGGAGCTTGGGCTCAAGGCCATACTCAACTTCGCTAGAATGGCGAGGCTTGAGGTCTAAGAAATGTGGAGGTGCACAAGGGCCCGTCTGAGTGGCCTATGCGCTGGCTCCTTATGGTGGCCGGTATGCCTCTAATTTCGTGTTTTCATTCATTCATTCATTCATAGCGGCAGTGCATATTAAATGTGTGTATGTGTGTGAAGGAGATGGATGTCTTGTTACGTAAACAACGTTTTTACTATTTAAATTTTATTACTCTCACACTAATTCATTTTAAAATTATTTCTTACAAAATTTGCCGCCATATGTCACCTGAACTATCTCGTGCTGCTGCTGCTGACTCATCGTCGACTCTGACTGCCCGCTCTCGGCGCCCATATTTATTCACGAATCGACGAATTCCAAGAGACTTCCAGGCGTAACTGGACCCTGCTTCGAAGCTTGCCAGATATCGGTCAATACTTCTTGATGGATGTCGAACGCTTTCGATTTGTGGCCGCATAATTGGTTGCCTAAGCTTCGATGTTACGAAGGAGTCTCATTGTTCCAGTTTCGAGTTCGTTACAATATGATTGTAATTCTTGTACTTTTACTGTGTGACCCACCAAAACCCGTGGAAAGCCTATAGGTTCATATTAAATGTCGGGCATAGGACCTGTGCACACCAAGTGCACAAATCGTTCAGATTGCCACTAGGTAAAAATTAACCTGACACATAATGTATGGCAAAAAAATCGCCGTACGTGCAACTTTTTAGCTATGTCTGTATATGGATATATTTTAATTAACGAATTCGTATATATTAGGAGCCAATCATATACGACGGCGGTCCGATAAGTACCTACAAAAGAAAAACGAAAACTTTGGGGGTGTCGATTTATTTCTCAACATAGTCTCTTCTTAGCTCGACACACTTGATCTAGCGATGCTCCAACTTCTTTAATCCATCTGAACAATACGTTCTCTTGAGGTATGCAAAGTAAGAACTTTTTCATTATACCCCATTCGTAGTCCATGTACGCCCAGACAAAACACAACATGCCCAAAAGCGAGATTCTACAGGTCCATGTTTTCCTCAATGGTCTTGGGATAATCTAACAAAATGAATGTTTATTCTTATAGAAAGAAGTGCACATTTCTTAATTCGCTTGAAGTACTTGAATCATCGTCCGAATGGTTAATATTAATTATTACAGGTTCAATTTAAATATCGATCATATTGTCCAGATGCCACAACTTGGTTTCGATTGTCTCTTGAACGTGACGGATGCAATCTTTCCAATGGTTTCCCGTCACTCTGTTGACAGCTACATAAAACAAATTTTCCTTGTCAGAAAATTTGAATGCTCTACTGTTTGAAGCCACATAGTTTTTTATATTTGCCCAAATCATTTCGATAGAATTTAATTCGCAGTGATAAGGGAGTAGCCTTAAAACGGTCTTATTTTGGTTTTTAATCGTTTCGTCAATAACAAGATTATATTTATATTTATGCTGCCTGAGTAGATGGACAAGTTCTGCTTTGACCATATTTTCATTGAAATTGATGTCTCTTGATACGAGTCGTTGTTGAATTTCTGCCTGTCTTGTGGACATCGTGGAAATTTTGTCTAGTTTTCTAGTGTGGTATGCAGCATTATCAAGTACAATGACGGCAGTGTCGTCAAACTTTGGGAGTGTTTCTTCAAACCATCGTTCAAATGAACTCCCATCCATTTCTTCATGGTATTCGGTCGTTTTCTTTGACTCAAATTCCCATAGGGCAGTGGGCACAAGGCCATCTTCACTGTCAATGTGACACATAACAAATCGTTTTCTTTTTCCTGGAAATAATTATTTCATATAGGTAGTATTCAAGAAAACCAGATATAGCTAAGTTTAGTGTAGCTAAGTGTTCAGCGTGGTCTCATAGATTCAGTCTACTTGATGGAGTCAGCCGATACTTCAGGTTTTGTATGTCCTGCATACAACCAGGTTTCATCCAAGTAATAAATCTTCCTTCCCTGGTCGCGGTATTTCTTTATTGATTTTAAATATTTTCTTCTCCATAAAATAATCTCTTGGCTGTCCATCAAAATACTAGTTCTGTCCCGTTTTCTTTAATTAAAATGAAGTTCTTTGAGGAAACTATAGAATGTGATCCTTTTGAAAGTAGGTAAGTCTTCATCACTATTAACCTCGTGTAATACTTTGTCTATGGTGGGAAGTTCCTGCCTTTCAAAAAATTGATGGTCTTTGCGTCTGTTGGCATTTCCATCGAAGTTATCAACTGTGTCCAACAGTTTCGTCTAATGCAGCCTCTTGTGTGGTGGAGACATTTTTTTTTGTTTTTTTTATATTCTTTAACAATGTTGAAAATTGTCTTAGGACATAAGCCTGTTTTGTTTGTCACTCGTCTTTCAATTCCATATCATGAATTTTCATTTCATGATGCTTTAAAATTTCGCTCTTATAAATGTTAAGGAGAATTTCATTTGCATGAATATTCAAATGTCCCTTCTTGTCACATTTTCGGGAAGGAGACATCACTGAAGAGGAAGCATGGCTGTCGGATCCTACACTTGTTTGTAGTTTTATGGCCACATGACCAACAGCTATTGCAATGGTTAGGCGGCTGCCGCTTTGGCGCGCTGCATCTTTGTTGTGCCGGGGCGTAAATGGGCTACGAATAGGGCATAGTACTTTTCAAGCACTACATGATGGTGTTTTTAAATTTTGTGGGCGAAGTTTCGCCTGGGAGAAACCATCATCAACTTTACTTTTCTATATGGTCCGAAAGAAAGTATGTGATAGCACCTTTTTCTAAGAATTAATCCATGTTGGATTTGTTTTCTTCTGCTTTTATCTAAGAAAGCTTTGATTTCATCTGCTATACATAGTAATGGAGTTATTTGAAGTCATTCATGCAAATTCGGTGCTTTCTGCTTATTTAGCTGGCAATAATCTCAACAGCATATGGAGAGTCGGATATCTATACATCCAAATTGTTCGTCGTTTTATTTTCTACAAAAGTGCTCATTAAAGTAAGATGGCGTTATTTTATGTTTAGTTGGAAGTCACACAAGTCCAAAAGAAAATGGGATTGATTGTATAATTCACATTTAATAAACATTATAAACATTTATATAATAAATATAAAGGTAAAGGGTTGTACATCCATACAAACAATATTCGTAGGTACTCATTTTTTGGCATGTATTAATACTGTGTTCACTACACTGTTTGACATCTCTGACTTCCGCTTATGTGTGTGTGTCAGGAATTCGGACATTGTGCTGCTTTGAGTGTTGGTCGTCGAATCTTTGGGCCGCTTCTTTCTTTTCTTGCATATCCACTTGAACGGTGGCAGCAACCTAAAAAAATAATATTCTATATACCGACGTCCTAGAACAAAGAGAATGAGTGCATACAAAAAGCGGCAGCACTTAGGTGCTTCATGTCAGGGACTGATTAGATCAAATGCACATGATCATTAAGCACTACAGTGATGTCGTTTCCTGAATGCGGTGTTTGGGTGAACACATCGTAACTGCTAAGTTCAATATCATATAAGCAGTAAGAAAAGCTGTTCAGTATGGTAGCAAAAAATAATTGCATGCCATTCTCTCTATGTCAATGCTACTTGAAAAAAGTCCTGACTGAATTGTGCAATCTCAAGGTGTGGTAAGACGGGTAAAACTTCTAAGCTGTTTTCGTTGCGCAAGCTTTCTTCCGTTCTAACATCGACAGAACGTGGTGCAGTTATTTTTGCTGCTGAATCTATGCCAGCTGTGAGCAATACATTTTGATTATCTACTTATGATCACATTTACTAACGGGCTAAGTATCCGAATTGCAAAATTATATGGTAAAAGATTTGATTAAAGCCCATTAATTTCATATGGTATTTGATTGAGATGTAATCATTGTTATCCAATCTCACCAGTGGCGTAGCTACCTTGGGTGGCACCCGGTGCGGCAGTTGGTGGTGTCACCCCATCGAAAGTCAAAAGCAGTAAATTTTATATGATTTATAAACGTTATGAATCATTTAATATTCATATTTAAAATATTGAACAAATAACGAAACAAAATAAAAACTAAGACAGAAAAAATGTTTACCTTGTAAATAAAATCTCTTCTTTATAGCTTTCACAGCTGCAAACTGAAATAACTTCATCAAAATTTATATTTTGTATTACCTCGTGTCCGATGGGTAATGCACTAAGATTGGGTCATTGTTGTCAGCAAATAGTTTTTTATTAAGTTTAGTTTACCGAAACTCCTTTCACATGAAGCTACGGTCTCGCAAACCGTCACGAACAATTTTAGTGCAATCATAAGATTAAGAAGAGATTCTGTAAAATCCCATTCTACAAAAATCTAGAGATACCCAATCAGAAACGGTACCTTTAGCGGCTTTTAAGTGTCTTCGCAGTATTGGTATCTCCGAAAGTAATTCTGTTTCTCAGACCTCACCATAAAAATCAGTAAGTTTGGTAGTAGCTAATTTCAGTTCTTCAGTATTCGCCAAAAGCAAAGTATTTGTTTGTACGATTTCAAACATTGAAGCTAGATCTTGAAGAGACTTCGATCTTGTCTGGAATTCAACTCTGAAAAAGTTGAGTTGCCGGCTGGGTATCACCCCAAAAAGTTGCGGACCGCCCCCCCCCCCTACTGATTCTAGATGTAGAATAGCTGATATAGAGTGGTACAACGTATTTTATTAATCATCGACTAGTATAATTTGTTTTAGAAGTTTCACAGTAAAACACTGGAGAAGTCTTAATGCGTTTTGTTTTTATTTGAAACGCAACATCAGATTATACATGCAATGTAGCTAAAAATTATGGGATGGCTTTTTAGCAATTGACAAACGAATTTTCGTGCAATTTGTACTTAATTTCCAAGTAATGGTTACCCAACTTGAGGGTTAAGTTGTGATTGTAAAACTGGCCATTGATAGCTAAGTGCAACTGAAAGTTAACAATGGCATTAATTGGCTACCCAGTACTATTCTATCCATTTACCTTGTCTAGCTATTATCATTAATAATGCATTTTAATTTCTCTTTCTTGGTTATTCTCATTTTCTTTTCTGTTTATTAGGAAATTTAGTTTTTTTTATGTCTGTACTGACCACATTCGCACTTGAGCGAGGGAAACCCCTAGAAAGGCTCAACCTTTTCCATCAAAAAGCCCTTAAAATATTTTTTGTCCTGCCGTCAGATACCTTTAGTCTTACACAAAGTCTATACAGGGTGTTCCATAATTATTGCGACAAAATGATAGGGGTTGTAGAGGGCATAAAAATATGCAATTTTGCCTTATAAACCCCTGTTCGTAAATATGCCGTTTGAGCTCTACAGTTAATTTTACCTTAAGAGCTCATAGGAGAAACAAAAAATTCACCAGCTGCAAAATGTTCGTCTAGCACATTTCATGGTCTCACCGGTTTGTAAAAAAAGCCTGCTGTGTTTACATTTTTGTTATTGTACACCCGTACCACCTTTTAAAAGTCCAAGCCATGGGTCCAGCAGACTATCTGCCGCGTCGACGTTTTTGCCGTTGGTGGCTGCGGCAGGAGTTGAGGCAACCAAACTTTGGTCGCTACGTTTTGTTCACTGACGAGTCCTGTTTTACAAAGGACGGTTATTTTAATAGCCATAACAGTCACATTTGGGATGAAGAAAACCCTCATGCCATAGCCATCCATAGAGACCAACATCAGTTTTCAATTAACATCTGGTGCGGCATTGTGGACGAGCATATCATCGGGCCATATCTGCTTCCACCACGTTTGGATGGGCATGCTTATGGTCGATCCTTACAGCATGTGCTACCGGAACTATTACAAAATGTGCCACTGAATATAAGAGCCAACATGTGGTTTCAACACCATGGCGGTCCAGCCCACTTTTCTTTACAAGTGCGGCAGTATTTGGACGACAAATTTCCAAATAGGTGGATAGGCCGAGGTGGCCCTGTGCCTTGGCCTGCGCGGTCACTTGACCTGACCACACTGGATTATTTTATCTGGAGCTATCTGAAAGCTTTAGTGTACGAAACTCCTGTTCCCAACCAACAAGAGCTACTGGGAAGAGTGATGGCCGCGTCCGCACATGTTCAGGACATACCGGGGGTATCCCACAGAGTTCGCCGATCATTGAACAATCGTGCACAGCTGTGTATTGAGCAAGGTGGAGGACACTTTGAGCAATTACTGTAGGTAAGCTGTTTCAAGAAACTGATCTTTTTTTTTTGCTGCAGCCCAAACGGCATATTTACGAACAGGGGTTTATAAGGAAAAATTGTTCATTTTAATGCCCTCTACAACCCCTATCATTTTGTCGCAATAATTATGGAACACCCTGTATATTAGTTCACAAGTTGTATACATCACTAGTAACTTAATTCTTTAACCATTTTGTATAAACTCTTACACATAACATAGATGCCTTGTGCAATGTCTGAGAGCTAGAAATACCAAAACATTCCATTGTGAGAGAGCTAGTACTAATTTGGCTGTAAAGTCGCCAGTATTAACTAGGTGTGAAAATTTTAATTCAATTTTTGCTGTATGTGATATAAATTTTGGCAGTATTGTGGTCGTTTGCACTTGGACAGAGAAGTCACATAAACGGGCTGTCCTGTTCTTAATATGTCTAGCATTTAACTTTCATTATTATGTTTATCGAAAACGGCTGCTTTATATTTTCTACAGGTTGAAAGTATTGATGGTTGACATAATGTCAAATATCGTACAGTATTTTTTTTGTAATCTGTTATACTTCATCATACTTTTCGCTACTTCAATTATTGTTTATGTTTCAGATATATTAAATGGATTCTTTGTGGTATCAGAAAATCATTTTGTCCCCCTAGTAAGCGATAGAACAGAACCAAAACGTTAGTGCCCACAACTGAAGCTTATAGGTGTACAGAATGATTGAAAAAACAGTAACGATGTCCATAGTCCAGAACATAAAGGGTGTCCCATTATAGATTGACCCCATCTCTAACTTTTTTCTAACCGTTCAGAAAAAGTCATTTATTTAAAAGTTATAGGGTCTGACATAAAATCTTTATCACAATGTCTTCTTTGTACGGAGGTTGTTGCAAAAAAGGGCTGACGAATAAAGGTTATATTTTGTTAGTTTATATGTATGTTAATAAATGCGAAAGTCTGAAGTCTGTCAGCATCACGTCTTAACAACAATACAGAATAACGTAAAGATTTGTACACTTTCTAATTTATACACGAAGAAGGTTAATGAAAGCATGGTTCTATCCGCCAACTGTTCATCGAGTGTCAGTAATGCCAGAGGTCATTTAGAGGTCATTTGGAGGTCACATTTGAGGTCATCGATAAATTACGTTTTCTCCTAAAACTCTTCTTAGAAGTCCTTTTTTTACGAAAAGACCCTTTTCCCAAAAAATGAGTGGTTGTCAAGGTTACTGTATTCAGCGTGTCCCAGAAGTCGACGGCATACCGAAAACGGGGGATAGGCAAGTCATAATAGTTATCAGAAAAATATAAAAAATCTAAGTCGTGTACTTTTTAAATTATAAGATTCGGAAAAATCTACACCTCTTGATGATTTTCTGACTTTTCATTCTACGTAGTGACAACAACGCAGATAGTAAAGCCACTTTTATTAATTCGTGGATGTATTTATTAAATTTACAATAAATGTTCAAACTGCCTTCCCTCAGCAGCCATAAAAGGTTGACACCTTCCTAAACACGTTTGGGTTATCAGACGGGCGAATCTTCCGTTATTAACAAATTGAGGTGTTTCGTTATTCTGCTCCGTAGTTCACTTAAATGTTCGATTCGCTTTGAATAAACTTTCTCCCTCACCGCTCCCCAGTAAAAAAAATCGAGTGGATTAAGTCAGGTGAATGGGCTGACCACGAAATTGTACCATACTGCCCTATGGCTCTGGTCGAATATTCTGCATCAAGATATTTTCTAACTGAACGGGCATAGTGCACTGAACAGCCGACTTGCTGATACCACATATCTCTGTAAATGCTTAGTTGCATGTCTTCCAAAAATTGGTTTTGTAAAAAGTCTAAAGATATTCTGCCATTCAAGAAGAATCTCGTTCCAAATGTTTACTTTAAAACGATACTCTGATCTATCTTGCTCATCAAATCTGTATTTTCTGCATGCCACTCGTGTAAGTTATGTAGATTCATGTAACCATTTTTTTTTAAGTTTCGACTTATCAGTCCATAAATTGTTCTCTAAGAATCGTGGATCTTCCGGGTATCTCTGTAACATTGTATGACAAAACTTAACTCTTGGATTATAATCCCGGGGTTGTAGTTGGTTGTACTTTTGGGCTTGCTTCTATTTGACATACTGAAGTACGCGGGTCTTCTTCGACTTCTTGTAGTACGACGTCCTACACAGTCATGAATTAATCAAACTGGCGCGGCTACCTATCGTTCTACGTAGAATGACACTGTTAGTCTCTCCAGAAAAAATTGAAATTTATCGTAATGGGAACTGAAAGATTTTCCGATATTCTAAAGAGTATAGTTTGAAAAGTACACGACATAGATTTTTTTAATATTTTTCTGATAACTATTATGACTTGGCATATCCCCGGATTGACATCGACATCTGGGACACCCTGTATATCGACAAAGTCGACGATGAGTTCACGGATAAAACCATTCCGGTTTGAATTAGTGAGCGTACAATTTTCTACGTCTCTCCGTGTTGTGATTCAGACATGATGCTGCTAGACTGGAAGACATCCACATTTATATACTGGTGCATTAAATATTTGAATAAAAAATGACCTTCGCCAAAGTGACTATTGCACACTAATGAAAACCGAATGATCTACAGTATCTACATCATTGATTTATATACTCCAACGTATCCTTATACAGGGTGGCGCATCGAAAACGAAACAGACGTATTTACTGGCAGCACAGTTTTTTTTGGAAAAACGCTCAGACCTGTCGATTTTGTTTTCGAGGGGGACACAACTTTGGCAAAAAATCACGTTGGCACGTGCAGCCCCCTAAGCGGGGGTGACACCACCCCCAAAATCTTAAATGGAAAGGGGGGTCGAGTGATAAAGGTCTTTCAATTCCCTTTATAATGATACAAAAATTAATGTACTTCAGTTCAGTAGTTTTGAAGATTTATTGATTTAAAGCTTAAATAAAACTAATACATCATCATTAGTGGAGATCAATACATTTGGTAGCAAAGTAATTTAAAAATGAAGAATGAACTGACCCGTTAAGCAAGTAAATGTTGAAAATGGCCACCATGACTCTCCATGCAATAATGAAGGTTTTGCTCAAAACGTTGCCGCACATTTTGCAATATTTGAGGAGTAATTTGAAGGCACTCATTCAGAATTCTTTGTCGCAGGTCTTCTAATGATGTTGGCTGAGTAGCATAGATTTTGCTTTTTAAATGACAACACATAAAGAAATCCAAAGGTGATAAATCTGGCGATCTTGGGGGCCATTCAATGGCACCTCTTCTGCCAATCCATCGATCTGGAAACGTCTGATCCAGATATTGTCGAACACGTAATGCGTAATGTGGTGGGGCACCATCCTGTTGGAACATCAACCTATTCGCAATGTACCGCCGATCACTCTGATTTTCAATTATGGCTGTTAATGCAGGATCTATGGCGTCTTCCAGTAATTCCAAATACATTTCAGCGGTCAAAATTCCAGGTAAGAAAAAAGGACCAACTAAATGATCGCCAAAAATACCAGCCCAAACATTTAATTTTTGTGGCTGCTGTGTATGAATCTCATTATAAATTCTGGGATTAGAATCGGACCAATATCGGCAGTTATGACGATTTACTACGCCATTTAAGAAAAAGGAACATTCGTCGGAAAAGCAAGTGTTGAATAGAAAATGTTCATCGTTTATAATTCGTTCACTCATATCTTCACAAAATTGTAATCGCCGATCAAAATCGTCTTCATTAAGTTCTTGTACTAGGTGAATTATACGGATGAAAACTATGGGCTTTTAGAATCCGTTGGACAGTACGTCGACTAACACCACACACAGTCTCCAATTTGCGGGTACTTAACTTAGGATTTACATAAACTTGCCCTAAAACCTCCACTTCTATTGCTTCGTTCCTTATGGGATTTTCAATGTTGCGTTTTTTATTGGCGACTGACCCAGTTTCCCGAAATTTAGCTACAAGTTCTAGAACATATTTTCGATGCGAACATGTAACGTGTTCTCATGTCGCTCATTAAATATTTCTGCTGTTCTATTAGCGCACCGATTATTTCCGAAAAATATTTCGATAATTTCAACCTTTTCTGCTGTGGAATATACCATGGTAAATTTATGTAATAAAGCGTTACAAGTTATTTTAGCAACAAAGTTTGGTCAAACCAATCGCAATCTATGTACTAAATTCCTATTTAAAGTAAGTACGAGATATTTCCTTATCTTTCCTCAAGAAATAGCTTTTTTGCCACAAAAAAACGCTCCAATAGCTATTTTCAGCAACAAAATGATAAACAAAGCATGGGCGTAGTGAAGAAAAGCATTTACTTATGAAGTAAATTCTTTTAGTCAAATTTCTTCTGAAAGTAGTAGAAACTAATCTGATGTACCTATTAAAGTCTACTTTAAGCTTTAAATCAATAAATCTTCAAAACTACTGAACTGAAGCTCATGTATACATCATTATAAAGGGAATTGAAAGACCTTTAAAATAAGGTATCACTCGACCTCCATTTATATTTAAGATTTTAGGGTTGGTGTCACCCCCGCTCAGGGGGCTGCACGTGTTAACGTGATTTTTTGCCAAACTTGTGTCCCCCTCGAAAACAAAATCGACGGGTCCGAGCGTTTTTCCAAAAAAAAAACAGCTGCCAGTAAATGCGTCTGTTTCGTTTTCGATGCGCCACCCTGTATGTAGACTGCTTCCACGTGAGCGGAGCCGCGAGTTCGGTCTAGTAGTTAGACATATATTAAAAATTATAGTAACGTTTTTTTCGATTACAAATACATTATGCTTTGTTATACTCATTTTTATTATTACATATGTATATAAATTTTATATGTCGAGGGCCTGGCATAAGGCCTGATATGTAAATGATTAAAAGGCACATAAAAATTACGTTGTACGTTTTAGAATTAGAAAAAATAAGCCTTAATCATTTTCGCTGAAAACACACAGAGTGTTGTGTGTAAAAAATAAAATATCAATAATTAACAATGGTAGCACTTTTTTGAAACATTCTGTGTACAAAATAGACATTGCATAAAATTGGACCGTTAAATTTTTTGTATAGACCATTTTTTTAAGCAGTCCGATAAAAAAAATATAGTGCTGCATCAATTTATAGCGAGATACCCCTTACGATCCAAAAGAACTCAAGAACATTCTATGACATGAGACATAAAATACGCCCTTGCTGGGATATAGGCTGATATTAACATTACTGAAGCTTGACATTACATTAGAAACCAATATGACATCATTATAAGTGTCATCAGTGACGTAGAAATTTAAAACAATAAGAAAGCATTTTGATTCAATGTTTATATGACCATTCTTGTTACCTTTCTATCTTACAAAAACTGTCACTGTTTTTTGAATCACTCAGTATAATATAAAGAGTGTGTACTAATGATGTGCTCACCAATAAGAAGGACGACAACATTACAGTTATAGAGTCTCTCTTAGAGAACTCATGTCATCCGATTCATGTGGTCTGACCGTATCTCGGTATGAACTTGAACTCACACAATTTTTGTATTCAGAATGCCCCGTCGATCTGGAGACGGAATATTGCAACAAAAACTTTTCAAATAAATCTATTTATGTGGCAATAAACTCGTATATGGTATCTGGGCGCACATTTCTAAAATAATCACAATTGCTCAGGGTGTAGTAATTTTTGACCCACATGTCGGAGTTAATTTTTTTAAGTGGAATGATTTACTTTTTATAACCCATGCGGATAGACCGTTACCACCGAGAGAACAACGGACAGACTCATTCACAAGAAGAATATTGATATAGTATACTTATCTGTTTTGCTTATTATATGTTATGTTATGTTAGCTATTGGATATTTTATCTAGAAAATTAGATGTTATGTTATGTTAGCTATTGGATATTTTATCTGGAAAAAAATTAACAAACTTTGACAGCCTGCTCATCTGCTAACCGAAAAGATATAGTGGTGGATTTCATGTCATACACTTCTGATTATTGTGTTTCAACTTAATTGGTCCATTTTTGAATTTTTAAAGTGGTCAATTCAAGGTGGTCAAAAACACAAAATATAATGTTATCCAAAAAGTTCAAGTGGAATACCCTGTATATTCGTCCATTTTTTTATTTTACTTCTTAAAAGCTTTTCCTGGATATAAAGGTCAATGATAGAGTTACGTATCAGGCTCTTGAGATACTCCAAATTGTATTACCTAACAATGAAATCAAAAGACATATAGTAGATCTAACATAGACAAAACATTCCTAATTCATAAAAACTAAAAAAGTACGGCTTACGTATTTGATCTATCAAACAAAAATAAAACCAGTGAATAAATTAGGATAAAAGTGATGATAATAAAAAACTGTTGACACCTATCGAGGTAGCAGATATGCAGGCTGCTAAGCTTTGCTGTTATTTATATAAAATACCCAATAGCTCAACAACTAATAATCAGAACCCATAATTATATCAGTCGTCTTCTTATTAAGGGTCCATCCAAATACGTGATAAAAAAATAGAACATACCATTTGAAGGAATCAACTTTCATATGTAGGTGAAAATTCGAGAAATGTGGATTCAAAATCCATGCATAATAAATCATAAATTCTTTTTTTAAGTTTTTGTTTAGGTGCAATATGCTGTCCCCACATATATGAGTCAGGCTTCTGATCGTTTTTGGTCATAGTAGGTACTCGTACGGAATGCTTCTATTTGAGATTCTGGTGAGGTACCCTGGACCTTTGGAAAGGACTTTTGGCAATGTGTCTTAAAATTAATTAGGCTAGGCAAAGGTCTGAGCAAAAATCAGAAATAGTCAAAATCATTACCCCATGTACCGGATGTTGTCCTAAATTAGTTGGTATCCATTGCTTAACTCCATATTTTTCATTTTCCACACGAGCATATCATTTAATACACTATTTAGTAAACGGTTAACAGTGGAAAAACAATCGAAGTCAGAGATCACAGGAAGCAAGAAAAAGAGAGCAATTTTTATGGTAGAGCAAACATTCATTGATAGAAAGTGATACAACGACAGTATGCGTCATTCCAAAAAATTCACTGCGAGTGAGCAGAGTGTGACATCAGCAAAGTCAAAAATCGCTCCCTGATAGTTCTTACCACAATATCCTACCGCAATGTGCCGAGAAGATAGCGTATATGAGCGGATTCGCCGCTGAATTCAATGGGGCTAAGCTCTGGACGAAAGTCGCGATCGCAATGTTAGTCTGCGTTGGTGGTACTTGCCCATATACTTGGAGGAGGTCGAAGACCATATATGGACTCCAGCAGATCACAAATACTGAAAATAAGTATCATTGAGTTCAGTGACGTATATAAGGTGAGGGAGGGAGGGCCTGCCCCCTCTCCGAATAGTACAAAATGTTGATCAAGTTCTGAGCGAACTTACAAATCGGTGGATTAATTATTTAATCATCTTAGAATTTGCAAAACAGTCCGCAGTTGGCATGTTACAAGTCTGGGAATTAAAATATTTTGAAACCTAAGGATACCGACTTTAGGTGATAAAGTAATGATAAAGTATTTGGTAGTTCTATAAATGTTGAGTTCTATGTCCAAAAAATTCCACCACAAGCCTGGAAGCTCCGTGTCACCTTTTTTTTTTCGCTTTGCTATTAGACATCGGTTACCGTGGCACATTTTCTGGAAGCTCCTAGGGCAGCCTCATACATTTAAAAGCAAATTTGGTATCGTATGGAAGGATGGGCCACAACGTTTATGGAAAGAAACGTTACTTTGTATGTTAAGTACAGAGAATTAAGTCTTCAGCGATTTTCCCAATCAGATACATGGTTTATTTTTCCTTCAACATCCGTAACTACGAAGATTAAAATTTACTTACTTAATGAAATTGACAAAGTTTTTTCACTCTGCAAGATGAAAATATAAAACTGTAAATTATTCTAGATAAACACGAAAAGACAAGTTGCTGTTTTTCAAGCGTAAAATGACATCCCTTCCAATACTATGTGGATATAAGACCCCCTTGATATCCATATCTCTTTCTGATCTATTTAGTTTTCAATCATATAAAAGTGGCGGGCCTGAGAGTCGTCAAATGTATCTATATAGGGTGCCTAATAATTCAACAACTAATGAGTTAAACCCATACCTATTTTTAGAAAGACACTTCCAAATAATGAACTCAATATGAGGATAAATGTATTCTAAAACACGAATTATGAAATCTGAGTCTATACTCTCTCCGCACATCAATCACTCCCATAGACATCGTTTATTCATAACAATATAATACGAGTATAAAATAAGCCCAAAATCACTGGGATCTAAGAGATTTGTGAGTGCCATAAAACATCATTGATTTTTCCATTTTGGCTATTTTCATTTTCTTTTAACTCAAACCCGATCCACTTTAGAAAAAATACTAAAGATATTTTTTTTAGAATAATAATTTTACGGGCAAGGAAAAATTAATATCCTATGTTCAGTTACAAAAACCTAGCTTATCATATTGCTTGAATATGAACTCTGAATTTCGAACCATTTTAGAAAATCAAGTAGGTACTAAGCAAGATTAAAAATGTTAACATACCACTAACTATAACCAATGTTATTTTTACAGTTTTGACTTTTGCTCTTGGAATGAGACCTCTGGAGCTAGCTCTTCTTGAGTTGTCAGAAGCTGAAAATAAGTAAAATATTGAATGATTTTCATACGCCATGTATCTTAACATGTCAGACGGATAATCTAAGCAGTACCTCATAAATAATTTATCGACAAAAATAAGTGATATATATATATATATATATACATTTGTGTCCTACCTACAACTTGAATTTTGAGAAATTTATCTTAATAATTCTAGTAAATAAAAAACTGGGCTCCACAAGTGCAACTAGAGCCTAAGTAGTACATTCACCATTTCCCACAACTATTACAAATTATGGTGAATGTTGTCCCTATAGGATTCGACTGTCATTCAAGTACATTGTTGTTGAGGTCAGTCTCATTTGATAGCGATATTTAGGTGAGGAGTATTAAAGTAATAATGCTCCATTTATACATTTATACTAATACTGATTAAGCAGGATTGTGGTGCTAAAGAGTGATCATTCATTGAAATATTGGCGCAGAACCAATCAATGAATAAGGAAGCACAGAGCAGCTAATAAACCACGAGGCACTCATTGTATTCAAACGGCCAGTTATCGACTTACCATTTTCCTTTTCTCTTCTTCCAGACCTTTTGCCCCTATGTCCCTTGTCTAGAAAAGACGTCTCTGTGCTCTTTGTCCAGATTGTGGTGATGATGATTGCATAACATGTTGCTATTATTGCAGTAGGTAGAGCAAACAACGATATACACACTAACGTCATGTACAGTCGCCACATCCACTGAGAAGAGAATTCTAACCAACATTGAAGCTGACCTAAAATAATTCAAACTCAGCAGAAACACCCCCAAAAAAATAGTGATCTTAAATAAATGAAAAACTGTTAACCAGTAAATAAAATCATCAGATTTCTCACTGACAATCTTTTATGCTAAAACATAGTGAAAAAGAATCAGTAAAAATGCATATAGTTAGACATAAGTAAAAGAAAGCCGTGATTGGGTTTTGAAATGAAACCATTTGCAATATGACTGGATTTCCCTTATAATGTGTTGCTTATGGAGGAGGAGGTCATTTATGTTTTCTTGAGGCAAGCTAGTTGTACATGGTTCCGGAGAGCTGCCGGTGTTTGTCGAAGATGAGATAAAGGAGTCACCATTCTACAAGGTGTCACGTGACAAAATCACGTAACTTTTTTTTACTATTATGACCACTTATCAGTAATTTGAATTTCTCTTTATTAATGGTAGGGTGCCGATTCCTAGGCCAAACCCTTTTTAATGATTTTCTTTTGGTAAGTATAGTATAGATTGTATAATTTCACACGTATTATATCTTTTTTTTTTTCAGCGACTAAGTATTGTGCTGAAATTTCTTGGAGATTAATGTTATAGTATTATTAACGACTATCTCAGAAATTTCCTCATAAAAGATCGTTGGTCCCTCGTAGAGAGTTGGTTCTGGCCATTGGTAACCAGCACCTTGTGATTTCTACACGTACTAACCTATATAATATTTGTCTACCTCCTTTTGAAATTTGATTTACTATCAAGATACCTTCTTTTGAAATGTGACTTACTATCAAGATATCTCCTTTTAATTGCATGTACAGGCGGGGCAGCTCCATCTTCCTTTGCTTTCCGTTATGGTTTTGGTTGTGCCTGGGACATTTCGTTGGCAATAATTTCCAGATTATGGAGTAGTTCCCTTTTATTTTGTACCTTACGTTAGTTGTGTTGGTTTTGGTGCTACCCCGTCGATTTTCTAATGGGATTTTAACCTCCAGCGGTAAGCTCTCTTTTGTATACTATCGGACCACGTCCATTAATGCATGTCCTGCTTCATTTTAGTGGGAAGACATTGCGGAGAACCACCATTCATACTCCTCTAGCTTTGTTTTGTAGCAGTCCTGTAGCTGTTTACAGCCGATTTTTAGTGAAGCCATCCCTTCCCCCTGACAAAAAAACCCTTATATGAACAGGTAACGTATCATTTAATTGGGTATTTTATAGATATTAATACATATATTGTTTCTTGCTTACTGAAATTATTAGAGTGTTCTTGACTTCGTTTGGCATTTTTACGTATTCAAATATAGGGCAGTCACCTTTTGGGCTTATTACATTAAATTGATCATGATTTTGATTTCTGAGCTGCCATAGCTTTATTTTAGAACAAGAGATAAATTTCTGAGGGTATATCACTTTAGTACATTTTTATCTTTTCCTTGTAAAATATAATGTACATGGTTTTTCTTAAAGTTTCGAGTGTTTAAATGTGTAGTTCTGTCTCAGACAGAGAATAGAGAGTAGATTTTTGAGTAGTCTTTCTCTCTCTAAGGTTTATTATAAGGTAAATTTTGGAAAACGAGGCAAGCAGCTCCTGCCTCCTCACATCACTGTCGACTGCTGGGCACTGGTTTTTGACCTCAGCGTTTGTGAGCTCAGGACATCTCAGCTCCGCCTGGAGCCGTAACTAAAATAAGACCACTGTCCAGATAAGTTTAGGTTTAGGCGTTAAAATATTTGTAAAGCCTATATTTGTAAAGCCTTCGTACGTGTACCATGGTACACATCCTTTCTTTTAACTTGCACTCCAGTGGTGGAGCATATGTGCTGCTGGTTTTGATAATATATTGTGATTATTTTTTTTATGTCTTGTGTACAATTAATTAGCTTTCGTCATTACTGTGAGATTCTTTTCTTTTCTGTGGGTGGTCAGGCAAAACAAGTTCCGATTAACACCTCGGGGATTTGTGGCTTAGTCCGTCCTAAGTCACTGGCGCTCTTAACCCCCCTATTCTCCGTTTTAATAAGCTAGTGCCTAAATTTTCACGAACCTAGATAGATGTTTTGCATTGACTGATCCTTAGATTTCATTTATTGTGTTTTATTAATTCATTAATTAATTTTTAAAAGAAAGGAAAGAGAAATCACACCACTATTTCATCTTGTTTGTAAAAAATGGCGTAGCAAAGCAATTATTCTGACAAGCATTTCATTGTAGCCCAATAATTAAGCAATAGTTTAGTCGGTTAAGTAGTGAAGTAGCTCTTTGCCGATTTACTTTCGCATATAAAATATGAATCATTATCTTTGTATTCTTGTTGTAATAGTGTAGAATCGGATAATTTGTACTATCCAATATACTCGTATTTTAGGAAACTCCTTAATGACGTGTTTGAATTGAACGAAATTTCAAAGTGAAATAATTTGACATGTTTATGTCAAAACGCGCAGCTTAGGACTGATGTGAACAATAAGAGTTTAGAAAAATGAGCTTTTTCAGATAAATGTTGCAAACGGTATAAATTACCGAACTGGTTCGTTAAGTTGTACCACGCGGTTTTTAAATTGTATGATACCAAAATGCACAAGATTTTCGTTGTTAGTGAAGCGGGTGTGTGAATCGAAACATCGTGATAATTTAAATGTTTTAATTATCCAACATACAATACAGAGAACACAAATAAGGAACAAAGGTAAAATAATATATTACTTTAACTAAATAACTAAAATTTTACAAATGAAAAGCTTCATTTATTGAACGCAAACGTAGGAATTTCCGATTTTGAACACGTTGATAAAACAGAAAACTATCCTTGTGATTAACTAAGAATAGGGGGCGTATGCGAACCCTGCTTTACGGATTTCAATTTGGCAGATCTAGAAACGTACGGGCATGTACATGCGATTTTTGTGTTTGTCTCTCATATATTTTGTATGGAGACCTAGTTTGATTATGTGTTTCTCCAAGTTTTTGTTGATGTTTCCCATTGATGTAATGATTATCTCTACTGATTGCAGTTTATATATTCTTTGGCACTTTTCTGCTAATGGTAGGTATTTGGACATTTTTTCTCTTTCAGACTTAACGACATTCTGATCCATGGGATTAGCTATGTCTATGAAATACTCAACATTGCCCTCGTGTACTGCATCTGGCCTATTCGCGAGAATAGTTTTATCTGTGTGCAGGGCTAGGTCGAAGTAAAGGTTTGGTGTATCATTACCTATAACTGGCAGAGGCAGGTACTTGTAGTACGGCTCACTATTGGATGGTGTTTGGGTGCCTATGCTTGATGAATAATACCTGCAGTGAGCTTGTGGCGCCGCCTATTATTATTATTATTATCATTATTATGATCATCATCATCATCATCAATATTATTATTAAACGTAATACACCATAGTGACATCATATCACCTCTAGCGTATATTTGAGTTGACTTAAGACCATACGTGATTGCGCCCAAATCATAACTCCTTACAATGTGTTGCACGTGGCGCGTTCAACTAAAACCTTACTTCTTCTTTTCTGCTACCTTTTACGTGGCCGTACAAGGAGTTATGGCGCGATTAAATATGATGCTTGTTTTCATCAGAAGAGGTATGAAGGTGCAACGCTATATCCGGTACCTAAATGCTGGAATCTCATTTTTGCCCAGTGAACATGTGTGGATAATGATGTAAGGTGCCCTCAACCATACAGCAAATTTTTTCTCTTTAACATTCAATCACAACTTTCTCTTACGCATGTCTAACTGAATAAAAACTTCCATTTAAATGAAACTATTCTTATTGGGTGTTCTATGTTCTTCGCGCTATTCAAAACCGCCAGAGGGAGCTGCGCTCTACCGGCGTAGCTCTGTTTCACGGCAACGTTCGGCTTCACGTTGCGGCAAGAACATGGAAACAACTGGGCAAGTTTCAATGGGAATTCCTGGACCATCCACTATACAGCCCTGACTTAGCACCATCAGCAGCCTGCAGCAGCAGTGGCCGTAGTGGTAGATGCTTCGTCTACCACTCAGTCGCCGTGCGCTGCGAGGGTTCTCCCGCTAGAGTTCCTGTGGCGTCCCCCCCTTTTCCTCTGTATCCCCCTATAGTCCCACGGTACCCCATGGGAGTTTAGGCCTTCGTGGTAGCTGGAGTATGGGAAAAAAATCAGACCCTCAACTTTTTTCAAAACTTAAGGGATTTCTTGGTGGAAAAGTGCTTGGAATATGATGACATGTTGAAAAGACAGTTACTAAATGGCTTAACGGTCAGGCGGCAGCGTTCTTTAACGAAGGCACCTAATAGCTGGTGCCACGACTTGACAAGTGTTTAAATCATTGTAGTGTCAATGTTAAATACTTAATGGAAAAAAAAAACATATTTTAGTTTGTGATACAATTAACATTCATAAATAAAGTTTCCAGACTCTATTGCAAAACCGTTCTTAAACATAATCCTCGCGGATATGGAACTTTAAACAAGTTTTAGTGCTTTAATGTTCAGTATCAACAAATTCATTACAAAATAACGACTCTACATAGAGGTATTGGAAAAAGCGGAACAACAAGGTGCTTGAACTTACATGAATTGTCTCTCATAAGAAATATTTGTCACAACACTCAATTTGGTGAAAAATTGGTTTGAATACCCGCGGTAAATCCACATGAAAAGCTTAAACCCGTTATGTTCTGGAAATTCTCTTAAATTAGTAAACATTGATACTGAAAATTGTATGTTGTATAATGGAAGAGTACGAATGATGTCTTTTAAGTTTTGCATATGGAAATAAAACAACACGGTAGGTAGTTTTAAATGACTTTATTGTTTTTCGAAGTATTGTTCACGAAGATTAATACACATCTGCCTGCGCTCGAACCAATTTTTGAAGCACTTATTCCACTCGTTTGCTGGCAGATCCAAAACGGCATTTTTGAATGCGTCAACTGCTTCTTCTGGTGACTGGAACTTTTGACCACGCAGTCTGTTTTTAATTTTCGGGAAAGTAAAGAAATCGTTAGGACTTAGATCGGGACTATATGTAGGATGGTCCAATAATTCCACGTTTTCTTCCGTTAAATACTGCCTTGATTTTTGGGCTGTGTGCGAGCTTGCATTGTCTTGGTGGAGGATGTTTCTTCTTTCGGGGTTGATTTTTCGAAGCTCGGTGATGACTTTTGGCAAACAAATGGTGGTATACCAATCCGTAGTAACAGTTCTTTGCTCATTAAGAGGAATTGTTGCAATATGACCCGCCTTTGACACAAATGTCGCGACCATCTTTTTCGAAACACTTCGAGAACGGATGACTTTTGTTGGCTTTTCTTCACCTTGGAACACTCAAACAGCCGACTGTCGTTTATTTTCTGGTTCATAACAGTAAGTCCACGATTCATCACCACTAACAATGCTGTACACATTTTTTGAGTTTCCGGAATTGAAACGGTCAAGTGTTTTTTGACACCAATTAACCCTAGCTGCTTTCTGCTCTTCAGTCAACAGGTGGGGTATCCAACGAGAAACTAATTTTCTTACTCCTAATTCTTCCTGTAAAATTTTTTGAATTGCGGTCTTTGAGATCTTCAAGGACGCCTCAATCTCGCGATATGTCACATGTGTATCTTCAATGATAGGGTTGCGCACAGCATCGTCGTTATCCAGGGTGACTGCCGTTTTTGGTGCACCCACCCTGCGATACCCTCCATACCAACGGGAAATGTCGACTGATGTGGCGCTTCGTTGCCGAAAATAGACAGCAACTCAGCAATGTATGTTTCTATATGCAAAACTTAAAAGACATCCCTCGTAACATCAACTCATCATAGCCATATTTGAAAGATGTTCACGTTTTGCCCTTATTAGCTCTCATCAGTGGGTAGAAATTTACGATAGAAAATTGAACAATTTCCGAACTATGTTTATAGAAGATTTTTAACTTATTGTTGGAATATTGTCATTGGTTTTTAAATCACCCTGTATATAAACAAGTCGCTGTCTCACTGACTGTCAAACAGGCGAATCCCCTGAAAGTGAAGACGTAACAGTTTGCAGAGGGGCTCTTCATAAAGTGCAATTTAGCTCTAAGGATCAACTTTTGAACATACGTCCCCTGTGGGTGTGAAACAGGGAGTGGGTGTGTGCATAATTTTTTTTATTCTTCCAATCAACTTACTTGAAACCTTGACAAACACTCTACGCTGACTAATGAGCCGAAAGACCAGTGCCATAAAACTCTACAATACATAAAAAATGTGTTACTTAACATTATTGTAAATTAATCTTGTAAGGAAGCGATATACTGTATATTTTTATGGTAAAACCGAAATCTACGTGTGTTAAGCCGCGGTTCGAAAGCTAGTAATGTTATAATTCTATAAGCGAAATAATGCACCCTCCTACCTTGTACTAACTTTTCTTCATATAGTATTAAAATGGGTATAGAAAAAAGTACGCTAAACGCCCAGGCTGTGGTTATCAGGCATCGTGCTCTTTTCCCTGAAAATATCACATGATGAATAATAACAAATTTGACACCAGTCTATAATTTACAACCAGCAAATAAATTATTTCTTTCGCAGAACGAGGAACACACTAATAAAAAAACAGCGGAGATACTGAGAACGTTTGTCAGTATCAGCTTTGTTCCAAAAAACTATCGAACTAGTTCCGAATTGAACAGAGTATGCTGAGAGAAGTTCGAATTTTATTAGCGCATGCGCGCTTATAGCATAAATGGCGTCGGTCCGCTGTTTATAGCTCGGAAGTTGGGTTTTGTAGCTCCCATCTTGTGCCTGTTCTAGATTTAGCCTTTTCATATATCAAGCCTAAATTTCAAACGCTTACTGCGCCGTTTATTTCACATTCAAAAGGTGGATGACGATGAAGATTACTTTGGAACAGATTCAAGTGACGATGACTGGATAAAGGATTTCCAAGAACCAGAACCAGCAATATTATTCTTATATAATATCCCTATCATTTCAAGTCAATCAATAGCTTAGTGTTGTTAACATTCCACTCAATTTCTTCCTCTGCTAGTGTAGCAGTGTGTTTCCTCTAAAGGCAAAATGATAAATTCTTCCAGCTCTAACAAAGACATAACTTCCAACTGTTCCTTTGAAATGTTTCAGCAGGCTACCCATCTCTTGTTAAATCTGCCATCTCGATATTCCAAGATAGAAAGATCAAAAGTAGTCAAAAACAATGAATTACCTCAAATTCCTGGACTAGCATACGGAACATGATAATTTTAAATGCTACCCCAATTAATGTTTTATTTGGACAACAATGTAAAATGAATTTTACAAACCTCTTACTGTAATTAACAACATCTCTTTAGAATTTAACACATTCCCAGATGCTAGGACCTGATTCTCAGTTAAACCTATTTTTAAAAGTGGAGACAGGTAGCTAATTTATAACGAAATACTGTTTGATGTAAAACACGTAATCATCCAGCAACAGCATACATTTTTTCCGAAAAGGTGCCTGGATACCAATTTGCTTTGTTTTTTGACTTCGTTTCAGATGCTTTGGACATAAATGATGCCATTTACACAGCAAGACTTTTGATCGAATTAATCGTAATTTGCTCTTAACAAAACTTGCCGAGGTGTGTATTCGTAGCTCTCTTGTAAAGTGAGTTTCATCTTATTTGCGCGACAGAGAAGTCTCACGTGTATAAACGGGTATAAATACAGAGTCGTTAATCCATCATCGGGAGCTCCTCCAGGAACCCACCTGGGACCATTATTCTTCGTAATCTATATAAATGATATCGCACAATGTTTTAGCCATTCACAGTTTCTTCTTTACGTAGATGACTTAAAGCCTTCAAAAGCGTCAAAATATAATCTGATATCGACAAACTCAACGATTATTGTCAGAGAAATCACCTGCCACTTAATAATAAAAAATGCTTCCCACTCACATTCGCGAAAAAAACCTATTCCAGTATGCGTATCAGATAGAGAATATTAATTCTGTGAGCAATAGTCGGGACCTGAGTCCGTAAGATGTTTGGCTTTATTAGATGGCATATTATGCGTTTATATAAAGTTTCTTTCGTGTCTATTATTTGGAACCTACAGTACGAGGTCGGTTAAATCAGGAAAACCTTGCATATGTATCTTATTAAAACTCTGCCCATATCTGATCTTATTCGAAATTTTTATGGGTTACGATTAAATATATAACTTTATTTCGGATATTCGTTAGTTTCCGTTATTGATAGGAAGCATCATCCCTAGTAAAAATAACTCACAGCTTCCAGAAAACTTCATTGGGTGTCTTATGGCATCATATCTGTCTATACTTAGAGCGACTAGAACGTACGTCGATCCGTATGTGACAACAACCTGAAAATGACAAAGTGATTTAATAGGCTGGCTAATACAGAATTGGTTAGCTATCACCTGCAGGAACTTTATAACCTTGCAGGCTATATTGCCCGCGTTCCAACTGACTGTTATCCTCCAAATTAAATCTGTCAGCACACTTATCAGGCCGACTGCAAGATCTGGAACATAAGGAAATCACATTCACCGTATGAATTTATGAAAAGATACTACGGGCCAAGGAACACTGCTTTGAGATATACTGAATCATAGACTGTTAAAGATTGTGGAAGCAGTTGTTCTGGATTTCCAGAGCCATAATCGATAAGTCATTAATGAGATATCATTTTTTCCAAGCAGCTCAGATGATTTTTGCCTAAAGCAAGAAAATACGAGCCCCTTCCCACTTCAGTTAGCCCAACTATTGAAATCTTAGTTTTTTTCTTATCAAACACAAATAATAAAAATGTAGCAGGGTGTGATAGGTTTAAAATATTAACAATGAATATTTTGATAATATAGGTATAGTAGAAAACACCAACTTTATCACTTCCTAATCAAATTTGCAGCATAAAAATAACACATGTTGCAATTACAGCATATCAACCTATTTTCATTTCAAGGCAAAATAAGCCTATAACGCATAGGTGGCTGTGAAAAATAACAGCCATGACAATTGTTTTTATTAATCATAGCTGTCAGAATACGTTTAAAATAGTTTTGGGTAGTTAAGGTTTTCAAAATGGGTAGAGGAAAGGTTATTAGTGAGAAAATTAGGTTACTGATAATTACATTTTTTAATTCTGGGAAATCAAACTCAGAAATTGCAACTTGAGAAATATTGTTAGAAGATATAACGTAACTGGTTCAGTTAATATTAAGCCACGATATGTGAAAAAAAGTAGTATCACAAATGCCGACCGAAGAGCATTAAGAAGAATAATCGTGAAAAACAGGCATGCTAATTATTTACAATTAAGTGCTCTGTGGAGTGACGCTGTTGGAAGGAGAATTCCAAGGTCCATAACTCATAGAGAGGTCCACAAACTGGGATTTAGCACTTGCAAGGTAAGTTTTCTTATAAAAAAAAGTGAAGTAAAAACCCTAAAGTTGCACAACTTGTTTTTAAGCCTCTATTAACTCCACTGCAAAAGAAAAATCGGCTTAGATGGGCTAAAGAACATAGACAATGGACACCTCAACAATGGTGTGCAATACAATGGAGTGATGAGGCCCGATTCGAAGTTTGTGTTCGTGACAGTCGCAGTAGAGTTATTCGCAAAAAAAAATGAAGCATTCCATGTTGACTGTCTGAAGAGAAAAGTGAAATTTCCAGCATCCATTATGGTCTGGGGCAGTATGTCATCAAAAGGAGTAGGAAAAGTTAATTTTATTGATGGAAATGTGGATACAAACAAATGCTTGGCAATTTTAGAAGAATCGCTTTTACCAGTGGTGGAAGAATGTTTTGACATCCGGCCAAGATTTTGTGTTTCAGCAAGATGGTGCAGACTGCCATACCTCTCAAAAAAGGCTATAAAATGGATGGAAGAAAATAATGTACCACTTTTGAAATGGGTTTCTAGCAGTCCAGATCTGTCACCTATTGAAACTTTGTGGCACGAGATGAAAAAGGTTCTACGACAACATCCTGCTCGTACAATCACCGAACTGAGACAAAGGCGTCAACCAAATGTTTGCCAAAACTTGGTTAACACTATGCTCCAAATAATTTCAGCCGTAATAAAAAATAAAGGTGATGTTACCAATGGTAATCTTTCAATTGTTGCTCTGTTAACTTCGCGCATTTATTCGCACATTGTTGATTTGTTCAGATGTTCTATTAGTCATAGGTCTAAGTGATTTCAAACATGTATCTTTTACGACTAGAGTGTATCTAAAATGTTTTTGAGAAAATAAGTTGTAAATAGAAAAGAAGTAAATAGTTTCGTCATGTTTAAAAGGCATATTTTGGTACAAATCTTGAAGTGGGCCAACTGAAGTGGGAAGGGGCTCGTATGTTTTTGGTTAATGGAGAGAGGTTTCAGAAAAGTTCCACAATTGCGTTACTATTATTACTGTCAAGCTAAACTCGACAAATATCTTAGGGGGAACTCTTCTGCAATATTCTGAGGTAATGCTAAAGAAAATTGCGCAAAATTGTTCCCATATTTGTAATTTATTATATGTGATATTCATTTGTTTTCCAATTAATACATTTTACTATTATTATTAAAAATAGGTGCCAAAGCCACTTACTAAAACTATCGATCATCAATTAAGATATTTTCCAGCGAGGATACAAAATGTAGGGTGGTCTTGGAATTGGGACTTTCCTTTACACAGCGTATAGCTCGTGCAACAAGACAAATATTCCTAGTGACGCGTACGCCAGAGGTTTAAGAAAACCGAACTGTATCAAAAAATCCTGAATGGGCCAGTCTAGCCCAACATCCAGCGTATGAAGATACGATGTGGGTCAGTATCCGAATCAAGTGTTGCTCGCCGTGTAGTCAACCTAGATGCTTATCCACTAACGAATTTGAAAAAAATCGAAATTGGTACATTCCAAAGCAAGTACGTCGACATCGATTTAATGTTAGCTTTCGGTGAGTTTGAACATTCTACTTATTTTTATGTTTTTAAATCGTATGGCGACAACTTTGACAGTACTCGAACTTGTGAGCAGAGCATGTGCCAGAGCAACATTTTAAATTCCCTGTTCTTTCAATATAGTTGCTTATGAAAAGGAAAGGGTCAACTGCCAGGATCCTATGTTTAAGACAAATGCATAATTTTTAATTGCTCAGCTTTAAAGGTTCTGGACTAGACGTTCACCTCATTTTCTATTCCTTGCCTACTTTTGTCTCATCTTCCTATTCCGAAACGCATTTAGTTGTTTTCAAGCTTGAAGGATGTCAAATGAATAGTGGATAGTAGGTCTAGATGTAGGGGGTCCGGCTTGCGCGCATGGAACCAAAACGTTTGGTATCCAATAAAATTTCTATCAAACCTTCAACTGAACCAGTTTCTTGAGAAATTCAAACCTACGATATTGCCATCTAGGAAATTATATACACTGAGAACAAATTTGTCTGACGGCTTGAGTTCAATGTGTACGCGACAGAAGGTATATAGACACACAGGTTAGAAAGAGATAGAAGTCGACTGGATAGCGAAGCTCATAGCCGCGTTACCTAGCAAGGCTGACGCGGCATTCTGCCGCGTTGTTAATTTGTTACCCCAATTTCTTGAATTAAAATTGGAATAAATAATTCTAATCAAAATGAAAACAAACTATTAAAATAAAAAGGTCTCCTTCTCAGGTTTGACCGTAACCTAGTCTATTGCAGAAGCCTGTGCAAACACTTTCTGGTGTGCCTTTCATTTGGCTTCTATCTCTTTCTAACATGCGTTGATACACACCTATCGCGCTTGTCTCTCGTACACATTGAACTTAAGCCGTCAGACAAATTTGGTTTTCCCTGTAGATATACACACTTATTTTTCTACTATTAAAGCAGGTAATCGTGGACAAACAAGTAACTTGTGACGCGAGATACGCGTCCGCTCCACTACGATGTGGTAGACGCATAAGCTACTATTTACACTTGGTAATAATGGAGTTTCGGAGCATGCAGCGCCAATAAGATCAAGGGAGAGGTGCGGCTTGGGGCTCTACTACTTTGGTGGTTTAACCTGAGACAACCTGTATATAGAACAGTTATTCTTACCTGCGTAAGCCAAGTGAGTGATGAAGTAGTTCATTCGACTCTTTCTGGGTCTCCCAACTGTCAAAGTATATATCACACCGCCGTTTCCTGCTACTATCACGATCAATAGTAGCCATAATACTGTGAATTGTTCAACCTGAAACAAATAATGCTGCTTGAATAAGCTTTCTGAATATTTGTAAATTATTTGTTAAATATCCATATGACTATCGTTCAAATTTGATCACGGCAGATTTTAAGCCTTAAACTTCAACTATTTCGTCATTCAAAAACACTGTAGTTAGGTTTAAAATTCTGTAGTCAGTTCCCACATCCCTCCATGTGAACTCCGGACGTAAACTCACTCCACTCTCGGAATGTCTGGGTGGAGGGTAGGCTCGAGGGAACAACATCAACGATAACATTTGTTTTCCGAACATCTGCGGGATTAACAGCAACATTGATGCTGTTCATCACTACCTGCAATCCAATCGTCACGCCGTGCTTTTCTTGGCGGAGACTAAAATTTCTGTCTGCACCGATTAACCATCTTAACTTCCCAAACTACGAGGTGCACTCCAATCTGAGAAAGAACGGGGGAGTTGTAGCTTTTGTCCGCAGCAGTCTTTCCTGCTCCAGAGATGCTTTCTGTTATAAGTAAGGTAATGGAGAGGTGCATATATCGCGAGCTTCTGGACTACCTCGAACGTCACAGCTTGATTAGCGACAGGCAGTATGGTTTCCGGCACCAACGATCCACAGGGACCTCCTAGCTTACGTGACGCAATTGTGGAGTAAACTCATCCAGTCTTATGGTGAGGCTCATGTCGTTGCTCTTGACATCACGAAAGCGTTCGATCAGCTGTGGCACGCTACCCTCTTAAGCAAACTTCCATCCTATGGCCTCCCAGAAAAGCTTTGCAGATGGTTGGCTGTCTTTATCTCTGGCCACTAGATATCCGTCGTAATTGATGGGTTCTACTCTTCATCCCACAACGTCAACGCGGGTGTTCCCCAGGGTTCGGTCTTGGCTCCGACACTGTTTCTCTTACATATCACCGACCTCCTTTCCTGCACGATCAACCCAATCCACAGCTTCGCTGATGACAGCACTTTATATGCAGGAATTCGGAGTGACAAGCCGATCTCTGCCGCTGAGCTGGAAAAAAGAAGACTAGCGACGACTTCTTCTCTGACAAGAGACCTGGAGGCTTTCACTGCTTGGGGACGCAACAATCTTGTACAGTTCAATGCTTCCAAAACACAGTACTGTACTTTGACGAACAAAAAGTGTCCCTGCGCTCACCCGGTTTCGATGGATGGCCGAGTTCTGCCAAAGAGCCATTCATTTCGGCTGCTCGGAGTCCAGATCACCAAGGACCTGATCTGGCACGAACACATCTCGTCAATAGCTGCAGCCGCTGGGAAAAAGCTAGGCTATTTGTTTAGGGCATGACCTTCTCACTCTATACAAGGCCCAGATAAGGCCTGGCCTCGAGTATTGCTCACACGTTTGGGGTGCTGCCGCCCCCACTACATTATCCATACTCGATGCTGTCCAGAGGACGGCGGTCCGACTGATCGATGACTCTTCTCTAACAGACAGTCTCGGGACTCTTTCGCACCGGCGGACTGTCGGCGATCTAGCTCTTTTCTACCGTTACACCAACGAGCTTGGCTCCTCAGAGCTCTCTTCCATGATGCCGCCGCGCGATGTGCCTGCCAGATAGACCCGTCTGACTTTGGCGTCCCATCCTAACCGTGTCGAACTTCGTACATCCAGAACTGGCCGATACGACCGCTCCTTTGTCCCGAGGGTGTCGAGATTGTGTAAGAATCTACAAGAGGAAGCTTTTCCCAGTTCTATTAACCTTAGGCAGTTCAAAAATCGTATTAACAAAATTTCTTTGTTATCATCATAACAGCAGCGGTGTCCCGGCATTTAGGCTTCTGCCCGTGCGGCTGCTTCTATATATATAAAAAGAAAATGTGTATGCCACGAAAAACCATATCACTCATTTCTGTTTGCGCATCTGTCTGCTGTCATCGCTTCATTGAAACCGTAATCACGTTTGTTGGATGCCCCTTAACACGAATAAAGAGGATGCAATTTTTTTTAGCAATACAAATATAAGTTCCATGCACCTTATGGCCTTTTTGGGATTTTTTAGACTTTGAATGGCTTATTAACTAGATAACTGTTCACTTTAGATAAAATAAATCAAGGGCCTTTTTTGTGTAGAGTGTCCTAAGGAAGATAAAACAGGAGAAAATAGTCCAAAAACTTCATTCATACTAATAAGGCTTTTGCCTTTTCTAACGTTAGACTAAGGAGAGCTTTAGAGGGTGTGAAAATCATTCGATTGAGCGCGAAGCTACGTGAGATAAACCTTCAGACTTTTTGTATATTTTACTCGTCTTTATTATTTAAACATATCCAATATAATTATTTGTGCGTAGCTGAGCAATTTTTATAAGGCATATCTTCTTCTTTTTATCCAATGGCTTTTAGTTTTTGAGATACATAAACATGATCACTATCAAACTTTTCCATAATTTGTAATGCCCACGCTTACTGGCGAGGAAGTATTGTCATCGCAACAAAAATTACGAGGTCTATAAGTTGAATGATGAGACTGACAACGGAGCGTTCGATTTGGAAACACTGGAGGTGCCAGGCTTGGAGGGGAGATACGGGAACATGTGATCCGCCTGCAGTATAGGTTTGTAATCGCTCGAGTCATTTGGTTGTCCCTAGCGATTTTTTTTTGAGAAACACTTGACTATTGTTTTCTGAAAATGAATGACATCATTTTCGAGCAACGATGTGCTATCAGGTTTTGCTTCAGACTTGGGTACAGAGCAACAAAGGTTCTTGTTAAACTTTAACCTGCCTATGGAAATAGAGTTTTGTCTAGACTCCAGGCTTATCGGTGGCTTGAGGCATTTTCAGAAGGAAGAAAGTCGATTGAAGATGAACCACGAAGAACCAATGAAAGTATCGACAGAATCCGGAATGCTGTGCATTCAGCTCGTCGTTTGGCAGTCAGACTTACATTTGACTGACACCATCATTCATCATATCCAGGAAAACTGGTGTTGCATCACGACAATGCTCCTTGTCACACAGAAATGTCAATAAACGAGTTATTGGCCAGTAAAAACATTCATCTGGCTCCTCAGCCTCCATCTTCACCTGACTTCAGTCCTTGTGACTTTTTTCTCTTCCCGAAGTTAAAAAATCTCCTCAAGGAACTCATTTTGGGACAGTCGAAAACATTCAAGTTGCTGTAACCGACAAGCTGAAGGCTATTCCAGTATTCGAGTTCCAGCACTGCCCATGAGGGGAGAATATAAAATAATTATACTTACTAAATTTACAGACCACGTATGTTCTTGGGATGTTATATGTCATGTCCATCACAAAAATCCATGTCACTTATTTCCTTCTGTCTGTCTATCTGTTACCGCTCGAATTTGGATGAAATTTTCATAGAAGGTTATTAATTTACTAGTTTTTTAAAATCGGTCTAGTGGCGGTAGAGAAAAATGGCAAAAACGAAGAAATAAAAATCGCTCAATCTCATTTTCTAACGTTTTAGATGATCCTGACCATTTTTGAAAAAGTCTATATGGGGCTGGGGGCTGTAGGGGGTGTTGGAGGTTGTATCCCGTACTTATTATATGTCGCGCTTAACTTGCACCACGGGGTAGAAAGCATCTTTGGTAGTGGATCCGAGTGACTTTTAAAAGCAGGTAGCAGTCGGGATATGCACATACGAAGTGGGCGTGATATTATCTATACCATTCATGTATGGTCGGATTATTACTCATAAACAAATACATTTTGGGAAAATCTAATAATGGCATGTTATACATGACATTTGAGGGTGCATTTCTAAAATATTGACAATTATCCAGGGTGTCCCAATTTTGACCTACATATCAAAGTTGTGATTTTTTAAATGTAATGCCTCAAATTTTATTGCATATTTGGATAAACCAATTCAAAAGAAGAATATATAAATAACATACTATGGAGTTTTGGTGATTAGCTACTGAGATGTAAGATGTTTTGTCCAGAAAAACCGTCCACCTCGGCAACCCCTCAATCCGCCATTTTAAAATTTGGAGTGCTGAATTTTATATCAAATAAACTGACACAGCTCAGCTTTTATCTTATTTGTTACTTTTCCGATTTTTAATTTTTGATCATACATGGTGGTCAAAAACGCGAATTGTACTTTTTCTCAAAAATTTCAAATATATCACCCTGTATATTTGTGCAAGTTTGGATTCAATTTTTTATAAGCTTTTTTGGTATTAGGCTTGATTCAGATGAAGTCACTAGATTTTGAGTTATTAAGCTTTTAATAGAACAACCAAAATTAAGGAAAAAAATCACATCATCCATGGAAACAAAAGATAAAAAGTGGGCTAGTTCCATATTGCCGCAAGAGTACAGATTTGACGTAAAAACTAATGACAATCAGAACAGTATAAATCAGCTTCAAGCGTAATAGAGAAAAACAACTATAACAACAACATTAACAAACAACTATCACTACTCAAGACCTAATCTACAATAACTGCTCGAAAATATCTCCACCATGTTGAATACACAGCTGTAGCCTTTGGATAAATGACCATTGGACATCTCTCAGCAAGTGTTCACTTATGTTCAGAAAAGCATCTTTAATCCTTTCCTTCATATTTTCAGGGGTAGATGGTGAATATCTATAAACCTCTTGCTTGACGTAGCCCGATAGAAAGAAGTCCATCGGTGTCATATCTGGTGATCTGTGAGGCCAACATATAGGCCCATCACGACCGATCGAACGATTGTTACTCCAGGAGTCCAAATAGTTTCGCACACGATTATGATAATGCGCAGGTGCGCCGTCATGTTGGAAGTACATATGCATCCGAGTTTGCAGGTTGACATCCTCCAAAAGCAAAGGCAAATGCTCGATCAAAAAAATCAAGTATTCTGTACCTGTTAATCTGTTGTCGAAAAAGAAAGGTCCGATAACGTGTCTGCCAATAACTCCTCCCCAAACATTCAAGCTCCATTTATTTTGGAAATCCATTTGCTCAACCCAGTAGGGGTTTTCCGTCGCATAATAGTGCATATTATGCCTGTTGACAACATCTATGCTGTTAAAAGTTGCCTCGTCGCTTAAAAGAACCTTATCCAGGAAGGTAGTGTCTTCACTAACTTTATTTAGAATTATTCTACTAAACTCCATTCGAGCTGCGAAATCCTGAGGACGAAGGCCTTGATGCAAGGTGATATGGATGGTACCTATGCTTGTGAATAACCCTTTGGACGGAAGTTCTGCATATATCAGTTTTTGCTCCAATTTGCCGTGCACTTAAATGGGGATTTTCCTGCAACTTTAATAGAACCTCCAACTGATTCGCCACATTGGTGACACTTGGATTATTTATACAATTTTTTACTATATTCCACTGCTCCACTTGATTCAAAACGTTCTCGTAGTGTGGAAAATGTTTGCGGCCTTGTCGCATATTAGGGTACCGTTGCTTATAAATGCGAGATGTTAGGAAACTATTTCTTTCAGCTTCGCCTAAAACAAACATCACAAAGCTAATATTGACAGTTTGTAACTAATCAACAATTTATTTGTTTCCAAGGATGATGCGATATTTTAGGGAATTAAGCCGTTCCATAAAAGACCGAAAAAATAGCCGTAAAAACCTTGTGTCTAGTATCAAATAAAAGCTTATAAAAAATTGAATCCAAACTTGCACAAATATACAGGGTGACACATTTGAAATATTTGAGAAAAATTACTATTTGCGTTTTTGACCACCCTGTATGAGCAAAAATTATATTTCGAAAAAGTAACAAACAAGATAAAAGCTGAGGTGTGTAAGTGTTTTTCGATACACAATACAGCACTCCAAATTTCAAAATGCCGGACTGAGGGGTTGCCGAAGTGGAGGGTTGGGGGTTTTTCTATATATATATACAGGGTGACTTCGAAGTTGAGTCATTTATTTTATCAGTGAGTAGATCTGATCAAAAGAAATGTTTTTTTCCTTTAACATTGTTCTGGTAAAATTAAATTAACAAAGTTATAGCCCTTTAGAAGTTTGAGTACCGCCCTGTCTCAATAGTAATATTATGTGCTCGTGTTTGGCAACAACGGATATAATCCGCGCCTTATCGGTTCACCGCAACGGAAACAAAAAAGCGAAAGAATTTGAAACGTTTATCACGATGGCAGTCAATGTGTGTTAGTCGGTAACGCGTGAGTGAATAGTAGTGTTTGTTGCGTGGCTCAAACGAAATAAAAAATGGCACATGTTTACGAAAATGCTGAACTTGTGGACATGATTCTTACTTACGGCATCACGGTTTTATGCGAATCGGTTTCCCAATCGAGTGCAACCAACCCCTCGTGCCGTTGTTAATGTAGTACAAAGGGCTCGTGAATCAGGTGACTTAAGACCTCATAGGGGAGAGAATGCCGGTGCTCCAAGACCGCACGATCAAATACAGGTCCGCATTGAAATACTTGTCGGGAGGATACTTTATAAAACAAGGTAACATTTTTTTTTTAATTTTTTTTTATTTTTACACACATATTTTGGTTTATCTTCCTTCTACACTCATTATCTGAAAATTAATGACTCAACTTCAAATATATATATATATATATATATATATATATATTTATATATATCTCAGTGGATAAATACCAAAACCCCATAGTATGTTATATCAATTTTCTTCTTTTGAATTGGTTTATTCAAATATGCAATAAAATTTGAGACATTCCATTTGAAAAATCACAACTTTGATATTTAGGTCGAAATTGGGGCACCCTGTATAATTGCTAATATTTTAGAAATGGAAATTGCTTTTCATGAGAATCCCTAATAGTGCAGACCTGGTTCTGAAAAAAGCAAATTTAGAAATTTCATTTTGCATTTCTTAAAAAAAAATAATGAAAATATATCCTTTTTTTTGCAGAAATATAAAGTTTTACTTTAGTGAGGTTCATTAAAGATGAAGGTCCTACATATTTTTGTGTATAATATGTAGATAAATGACTTTTAAAAAACTATGAAATGAGAGAATGACTGGTAGGATGGGGGAATGATTTTTACAACAATGTGATGCTGAAGTTCAATAAAAACATACGTTAATTTATTAATAGATTATTGAGATTTGTTTTGTGCTTTAAAGGGCACATCCTGGTATTTTCTTCATTCGCTACGAAATGAACAACATCACCCCTAACTTCCAGCATTTTGGAAATAAGTTTACGAGTGCAGTTCTTTTTGTACGTATCGTTTTTGAAAAAATGTTTCGATCTATATAGCAATTTGTATCTTTTGTACTTATTGCAGCTTCAACATGTAATATTTTTTCTTTTCTCCATGTTTACTTCCAAGATCTTCATAGATATTCTTGAGGTCCGTTGACAGTGCTTCGCCGAAAATGAGTCTTTTTCTTACAACGTCAGGAACTTGTATATTATTTAAAAGCAAAGACACTTTAGTTGCTGGAGAGTCTGGGTCAGTATTTTTAGTTTTCAATCCCAAACACCTCTTCTTATATTTTTCGCTAAGCTTGACAGCGTTCCTTACTTTATTTTCCAAACTTTTAATCTTCGCGTACAGAATAGTTCGCCGCTTGCGCATTCTACGTCTATTGAGAGCAGACAAATTCTCGGCTCTGTGCTGTAAAGATGGTGCAGGACTTGGTGGGGGTGTGTCTTCAACTATTCTCTGTAAATTTATTTGTAATGTAACTCGCTTTTCCCTATAAACTTTACTATGCTTTTTTCATTGTTTTAGTTTTTGGCAAGTTTCTCTTGCATTCATAGGACTTATTGACTTAACTTCTTCTTTAAATTCTTTAATCTTTCTTTTTCACGCAAAGCTTCTAAAGACTCAGCAGTAATTTTCATTTATTCTCGCCTCTTTCTGTCAAACTCCCTTTTTAATTTCTTTTCTTCTTCACTTAACTTCTTCATTTTCCCCATTCTTGGTATTCGGATTTCTGTTAAAATTGAAAACATATGCTATACAACCTGGAGTTAAACAATAACACCCAAACCACAATTTTATATATGCAACATTCATTCCCTCATATAATTTTCATTGCCTCACTTTCTAATATAGTGAGGGAATGATCGTGAGGAAATGACGGATTTCAGTGACCAACCCAAAACAAAAATAATCATTAAAACATTCGAACAGTATAATGACTTACCTTTTAATATAAACGGTGAGGTAATGACACAGAGAAATGTAATGTTCTAATTATTGAAATCCAATACTTTTTGCAGCAACTCTTTTCA